GTGTGTTAACCACTTGACCCTCTAGGGTTTCAAAATAAAAAATTAATATTGGCACATGATTGATCTACCAGATGGCTGAATTCTCTTCTCTGTATTTTTAACCCATGCTCTGAGTTTGTCATTTAAATCCAACTGTACAAATAGGCACGAATGATTTCATAATTATCACTTATAAGTGAGAGATATTTATCTTAGAAGTTATCCTTACCAAAAGCTCCTCGCCAGCAATTCCCCGATTGTTAAAAACCACGCATCTAAAAATTGAGACAGTAAATTCAATTGTGCACATTGTTCATTTCACCAACAGAGATAACTTAAACACACACAAATAAATGAAAATGCATAAAGAAAAATAAGCCACTTCTGTGAATAAGTTCAGCACATAAATATTTACAGATCTACAGATCCTAGAGGCTGACCTGTGTGAAACAAGCTTTATATCAAAATGGAGCTCACTGAGGTCAGTGGGACTACCAGAGCTCTGTGATTTGTTGAGGCCAGATTTCAGGGTGAGAACCCCAAGGTTTAGCTGAAGGTGGTACACACATGTCCTGCACTCTGCCATGAGCTCTGCCAGTGCAGGGCCCAGCCTAAAGCTCTGAAAAAAGAACATCAGAGATCTCTGTGTAGACATCCCCCATAGCTACATAATTCTATTACATTGGAAAAAATGAGCTAAGTCAAAATGATAATGACAGCTGGAACTAAGTTGCAGGTTCTTGGGAATGATTTTATTTTTTTTTTCATCTGGTACAGGAGAAGTTTCTGGTCTCTCTCTGTTGGTGGGAATCTCTGAATCTTCTAGCAGTATTACCATGATTTAAGAATCCATTTCTCAAAAAATTTTACTTTTCTATTACTCTTCTATCATCTCACTGAAATAATTTTATTAAATAATATACATAGATGGGTTAAAGGTATGAAAGAATACTTATTTTGGTATTTTTCTCAAATGTTGCTGTTTAAAAACAAAATTATAGCACTCTCTTGAAATCTGACCTGAAGCTCCACTTTTGAATGTTCTAGTTTCTTCCCTTAGGAAATGCTGATAAAACTTCCAGAAAAACTTTAAGAATTTATAGTAGTAAGTTATTACTATGTAATGTATAGAGTATATATAATATATCTGTAGAACCTATCTTAATATAATTAAGATATAGATGAACACGTAGATAAAAACTAATATTTACACATTTGAAGAACTTACTGGAGTCAGCACCAGAAGCCAATCTGCAAAGACAAAATCTAATATTCCAAATACAGATCCTGGAACAATGACAACTTACTGTAATGTGCAGCAGCAGCAATACGGTTACATAAAGGAGTCTACTCATTGACTAATCCACTTATGTTACCCAACTCTGACCAGAAACCTTAAGAATGAAACCAAATTACACAGTGACAATGAAGAGGTGACAGACCCGCTCAAACACCATCCATAAGAATAGGCTAGCTCTCCTTTCTGCACCCAGAAATCTGAGGCTGCTGAATCAAGCAATTTTGGCATTCAGCAGCTGACCTCCTCCAAGGCCTACTGCCAACAACCCATCCACACAAGTCTTGGAGCTGAATACAAACCCTTTCTCTAGAAAGTGTAAAGGTTAACACCTAATATAATATAAGAACTTAAGAAGCAGCAGCAAAGCCCTATGCAGACTTAGCTGGCTTTCTCTGCAATCTCTGGGGCACATCTGTACATATTAAAACAGTCCTTCCAAATGTACTGCCTGTTACATAATCCCACTGTGATTATTATTACTAATAACACTTTTTTACATAAACTACTGTATTCAGATCTCATTTGCCTTAGGAAAGCATCTGATACATATACATACTGATACTGGATCCTACCAGAAGCAGCAAAATGAATAGCAGTGGAAAACAACAGTACCTATATCCCAGTGTTTCGCTTTGATGGATCATATGAAGAATGTAGGATTCCTTGCTTGTTCCTGTCAGGCCAGGCAATAACAGGACAGTGGGTCTTGTGCTGGCATCCGGATAATATAAGCTGTCATTATTATCAAACCAATCCAATGAAATCTGTCCTCCATCTGCTGTTTTAATGAGCTCACTGAAAGGTACATTTTAAGATAATACTGATTAGATTGAAAAATACATACACACTATTAAGAGTGCTTGCAGTTTACAAATTACCAGGTATGAATTCTGCATTTCTCTTTATGTTTTAATACTCAAAGTGCCACCTGACTAGGCATGTCTGCATTCAGAAAGAGTTACACCTACAGCTGACAAGAGTTAGAACAGTCAATTTGTGGAGTAATTCCCACTCAGTAAATGAAGACATGGCCTTTCATAAATTGCTGCTGATGTACTGGAAGCTTGTAGCTAATGTGATTTTTGGCACTGCCTTGTATTTTATACAGGCATTTTTGTGTACCGCAGATTTCCTTTGAATCATCTGAGAATCTTTCGATAGCACACTGGGTAATGTGATAAACATTTATTGCATTTTTTTCCTTTTCATCCAAAGAAGTAGAGTGCACAGACACACACTACTGCATCTTTCACCCCTTATCACTACAAAATGTGCTAGAATGCACTCTTATAGCATGTATCTTAATAATGTAACAAACACTGTAATAGCTCACAAAGTTATGCAGGCATTAAACAATGACAAAAAAGTTTCATTTTTTTTTTAGAAACATACAAATCTTCCCACTTCTTGGAAATTTGAACAGTTAAAGTGTTACTTGATTTTCATAATTTAGAAAAGTAGCTATATAGCTAAACATGTAGATAAAAGCTAATATATACATATTTTAATGGCTCAAGGAAGCTGGTGTGGAAACTACCAAAATGTAAGCCCACCTTCCATTTGATTTTTCTTTTGAAATTCTTGGTAGTGACTACTGCAGATTTTAGAGGTGACCAGCCTTGTTGGACTCATTAGCTCAGCTTTGCCCTTTTTCAGTAATGGGAAGTAGATGCAATGCTAGTGAGTACTGCCAACACAATCTAAAATGGTGCAAAATAAGCACTGCCCCACGGAACTATGTTTCTTCTCTCAAAACCCTTGAAATAAAAGTGTACAAGAAGGACTAGAAAAAGTGAACATGGCCATACCACTGAAATGTTTCCTAGTTACTAAAACCAAGGGAAGCTGCTAAATGCTAAATCTATTCTACCGTGCAAGCAGAGCTGAAACAACTTGTGTTGCATCCAGGTTCCGGCGCATAAAAGTCCTTCTCCTTAGGTCTTGTGCCAAATGCCTCATTTGCCAGACTAAGTCTCATTTCTGTGTGAAAGAGATCAGCTGAGGACAAAAAATAAATATAAGGGATTTTTTCCTTATTCTCTTAGAATTTAGGCATGAAAGAACACAACAAACTCTACAGGTGAAAGTTTCTCTGAAAATCCCAGAAGTTCTGTATATTCAAAACAAGGCTGAATGTGGCTGTGCTATGGTTAAGGTACAACATGTTGGTTTAATGGACAGATACAGTGACTGCATGACCTTTGCAAAATAATGGCATTCGAACACCAGAATATTTGATAAGCCAAATAATTGTGCTGTCATCCAGAGGGGCCTCAACAGGCTGCAGAAATGGGTTGACAGGAACTTCACAAAGTTCAGTGAGGGGAAGTGCAAAGTCCTATGCCTGGGAAGGGAACAACCCTATCTACCAGTAAAGACTACCCATCTGGAAAACAGCTTGGCAGAAAAGGACCCAAGGGTCCTCCTGGTGGACATCATGTTGGACATGAGCCAGTAATGCTTCCTTGCAGGAAAGATGGCCAAAGTCTGGAGGCTTTGGAGGCTTAGGAGGAGTATTGCCAGCAGACTGAGAGAGATGGTTCACTGAGGGAGATGGGCCTGCCCCACTATGGAGCACTGGTGAGGCCACACCTCAAGTACCAAGTCCAGCTCTGGGCTCCCCAGTCCAAGGCAGACATGGACATACTGGCAAGAAGCCAGCAAAGGGCCACAAAGATGACAAACTGGAGCCTATGAGTAAAGGCTGGGACAGCTGGGACTGCTCAGCCTGAAGAAGAAAAGGCTCAGGGGGAACTCAGCAATGTGTTTACATACCTGAAGGAGGGAGGGAGCAAAGAGGAAGGAGCCAGGCTCCTTTCAGAGGTGCCCATTAACAGAACAAGAGTCAATGGGCCCAACCTGAAACATGGGAGGTTCCCTCTGAATATCCAGAAAACACATTTTCGATGTGAGAGTGCCCAAGCACTGGCACAATTTGCCATGGGGTATTCTGCAGTCACCATCCTTATGGAAATCCAAAAGCTATTTTGACATGATCTGGGTGACCCTGCTTGAGCAGGGGAGTTGGACTAGGTGACCTGCAGAGGTCTTTTATGACCTCATCCACTGTGTAATCCTGTGAACATATAACCACATCAGTTCCTATATTGTCACCTATATTTCTGTGCTACAAAACTCTCTGAGATAAAATACGGCCATTTGGGAACACTGACCTTTCAAACCTAGATATTAGATCATATTAGATTTCATACTAAATCCATTATAAAGATAGTTTCAAGTCTATGACAAAGTTGTGAAGGTGGGCATACAGCAAAAAAAACAGGCACAAACTTGAGCAATGACAGTGGGTGTGACACAGAGTAAGAGAACAGCCGGATATCAAATCAATCACGTTCCAGAATAAAGGCACTTACTTCCTGTACTGTACTTGGGGTCTAGATGTGATAAAGGGGCGCAGGAGTGTCTGTACCCGACCTTCCCAGCACCAAATCGTGGGATAGTAAGTTTCTGTCACAACAGGGCAATATTCCTCGAGAAAGCGGCAGAAACGATCATTGCTTGCCACCAGCTGGGGTTTCTAGGAAAAAAGACTACAGTCAGATACGGGCATTCTTACAAAACAAACTAAAAAACAAATAAAGAAATGCAGCTTATTTAATTTCTCTCTCAGGGAACTAATTTATTTCATATAATCATTTGCAATGCTTTTATCTTTCATGATGCAGAGATAAGAAAATGAAAATCAAATAAAATGCCCAAGTGAAAAGTGAAACCCATTAAGCATAATGGGTTTCTTATCTATTTCTAATAACATACTGATCTAGCTCTACTTTTACCGTCATGGTATATTCACTGACAAATTAAATTCACACTGTTTCTTAGTGGGCAAGAGAGATTTTACCAAGTCCGTTTTCTTGGATGTCACAAAAATGACATAAAAATGCCATTTAATTCATGCATGCACTTTGACCGTAGTACCCTTTCTAACCTGGTAGGGCACTTCTCCTATCTCATTCTACAGTACACAAGTACATGAGTTCCTCCTCTCTAATAATGCTCAGCATGCAGACAATTTACTTACAATTTCCATTTGTATACCAATTAACACGGAAAAAACCCTGCGTATCAAACATCTCAGGTTTCAGCAACCGTATTTCTTATACCTTTCTGTCACAATGACTCCCCAACATGCAAGCATTAATAGGACAATAGCAGATGCTTTGAGGAAAACAACTCCACATAAACAGCTGTAATGGCACATCCTCCCTTCACTTTTCTCCTCTGAGCAAAATCAAGTACCCTCTTCTGTATGGAGAGGAATGCTGTGTTCCCAGCGGTTCCCTGAAGGACTGTGGCAATACTCAGGTCCTCAACGGTCAAAAACCTTTTGATATGCGTTATTTTCAGTTGATTATGCATTCAACGAGGCGCTCTCACCACGGGGCCACTTCAGATCTCATCAGGCTCACCGTATCCAAGTAATTTGCGATTTCCTAATTTATCTGTAAAGCTACTGCTGATGAGGAGATGCCCAAGAGTTCTCCAGTCCCCAGAACGCTGTCATGGTGCCTCCAGAAGTACTCAGGATGGTACCGACGGGGACACAAGGGCAGCAAAACTCCTTTATCACCTGCCCTGCTTAGTGAACCAAGTACGTCGGGTTTATGTTGTGGAGGGCAGTCTCTTACCTCCCTTTCCAAACCATGGCACCTGGCCAAGGTCTCCAACTGGTACAACTCCATTTTGAGGACTGCCGATACCGGAGCCCCCTCCCCTCCCGGACCGAGCACGACCAGGGGAGCCCTCCCTCACCGCAGGCCGGCGGCCTCCGGGGTTCGCGGCGGCCCCGTGGAAGACGCAGCCCCGGCGGGCAGGGGGGGCTGCGCTGCCGGGCCCGTGTGGGGTTCGAGCGGGTTTCGGCCGGCCGGGACCCCGGGGCGGCACCTCCAGGGGACGGACGAGGGCTGTGAGGACANGGTCGCAGCCTCTCCCGCAGGGGACGCAGTCCCGGGTAGCCCGGGGTGGCTGAGCCGCCGCCGCCAGCGCCGGCTCCTCCGCGACACTGCTGCCGGCATCGGCCGCCCCACGGCAGGTGACATCGCGGTGCTCCTTCGGGGTCACCTTGCCCTGTCGCTTTGCCGGGAGGGCAGGGAGGGCGTGTGGGGGTCAGATAGGAAAGGGACCCGTCCAAAACCGTAAGGAGCAGCTGACGCTGGTGTGTGGAAACTCAGTCACTGCCGGGCAGGGAAGAGGGAATGTGGGCTTCCAATGCAGCAGTGGTTAATCAGCAATCTCTAAACATTTTACGTGAGACAGAAGCTTGCTAGTGCTCTTGCACTTACGACTGTTGTTTCAAGGCATTAGTGAAGACCAGGGAGTATAGGTATCTCCAATTCCCAAGAGAATTTCGGCCAGTTCCTTTTTCAGCTGTATGGATTGTTGCTTGGAGGCCCTCGTGTTTGTTAACTCAGATGCTCCCCCCACCTTCAGCTTCATAAAAAGACGCACAGCATATGCGTCTTTTCCTTGGCAAAATGCTAGAAGCACAGCTGATAACACGAAGATCCTGGAGCTGGGCATCTGCTATTTGAGATGCATGCAAGCACCACAGCACACAAAAGTACTTTCCCTCTCCCTTATTTTATGGCCCAGCTCCATGAACTGCTGAGAGAAGACAGACGTTGCTCAGTGAGACTCTTCACTTCTTACCTTATCTGTGTTTTCTTGCTATATGCAAATTTCAAAATTTACCAAAAATAGAAGAAAAAATGTAACAGCAGAAAAGATGTGACCTTTTCCACTTGCTTCTCCTAATTAAGACAGAGTTTACCGGAGAGATTCTGCTTTGACATCATCTCAGTCCAAAATTTTCTTGTTCACCATGAAAAGACTAATAAGAGTGTATTGCAGAGATCTGAAGAAATTTTAAAATACCTATTCTTCCTATACAGTCAGCTGTCCAAAGTTGAAAGGCGTATGGGAATTGGTAAGCAGAGACAGGGAAGGTCTGGGTTTGTTTTCTTTTCCCCAGAGCTGTTACAGAAACAGGAAACAGAATGGGTGGAAACCTACTGTCATCAACACTGCACTTCCTCTGCTGATGAAGAATAGCCATACCCAGGTTTTGGTTCTGACTTGCTGGGAGTGTATGCTGTACACCCCAGATAAAAGGATTTATCATGAAGGGCACACTCCAGTGGGAGAGCTGGAGTAGATAGCTACACTACGTGTTTGAGAACATGTAGGCTTAATCTACAGTGTGAATTCAGGAACCTTCAGAGATAATAATTTGGCTGACAACTAGATTTTAGGATGCAGAGAAACCTGCTACATCTGAAGGAGGAACTAGTTGTTCTTGCAGCAGACTGTTCTGTATTCTGTATTCCTATCCTCATTAAGCTGAAGGATCCTTGAGTCACCCAAAATCTAAAGAAAAGAAAAATCCCAAATATCTGAGAAAGAGGAAGACACAGACTGTGTCCTTGCGTCTAGAAGGCTTCTAAATGCATATCCACTCATTTGACTGAAAAGTGGCATTGGGTGTTGATGATTAGAGAAAGCCTTTGAGTCATACAAACCCAGTAGTTTAATGACTTGATCAACAATCAAGAGAGATTGAATACCTGAAAAACATCCAGACACAAAGGTTGATGAGGTTTATCTAGTCTTGGGCTACCATCTATCCTGTGTTGGTTACTCATGGGAATATTAATAAGGTCAGGCACATGTGACATGCCACAGGCAAACTGAAACAAAACATGTACTGAGAGGGGCTGAGGGGTTTGGGTATTTTACTGTGTAAACATGTTGGTGCATTGACAACAGCAGTAATGTTAATAACTTCTGTTTCCTCAAAAGATCCTCTGGTTCTGGTGTTGGGTTTTTTTAAGTCTTTAAAAGATTGTCCTTTGGCCTACAACGCATTTTGCAAAGCTGATAAAGAAAAGGCCCTATTCTGCTCATACTACAACCACTTCCAAGTGATTGAGTCATTGTAAATTGTGCATGTGTGAAAAAAATGAGGAGGTCACTATGGTGTTTTGAACACTTGCTGCATTTTTTTTCAGAGAGTCCACATTCCCAGAGAGAGTTCCTGTTTGCAATATGCTCTCTTCTCTCCAAGTGCTTCATAAAACAATTGCATCAACCCATTAGTAATGGATTATAGATTAAGCAGAAACGAAAGGGCACAGGACTGTTCTTTTATATTGTCTCCCAATTTATTTTTTTTAAGCAATAGATAATAATTGACAGGAGCAATTTAGGAGTCACAGGTTGATTTGCTTTTATCACTAGAAGGCTGCACTATGCTCATGTTATCTTTTGTGTATGGAGGTGGTTCCATGATCATTTGGGGTTTGGGACAGAATCATTATGTTCTTACCAACTTTCCAATGGACAGTTGCAAGCTGGTCCCACTGCAGTTCTCTGTAGGCCCACTCTTGGAATGGATTTCAATGAGCAGCACTTCTGACGAGGGGCAAAGTTTTGACTTTTAACCTCAGAAGTTTAAATTCAAGGTTCTGTTTGATTACATTCTTTTAATGTTTGTTTAGCTTTAGTATTCATCTAACAAAGTGGGAAAAATACCTTTGTGTCAGCATAAACTATCTTGGGATACTTAGAAAGTGTGAAGTCCATGCATAAAACATCTGAAAAGTTTTCCATTAACACAAGTATCCAGTGTTGGTGATATTTATTATCAGTAAGGGAATGGGGAAAAAAAAAGTGCATTTGAAAAATTCAGTTCAGCATTTCTCAAGACTTCCTCATGTTTATTATTTATTTGTCTTTTCTTAAAATATGAATGAAGTCAGTGAAAATGCTCTGTGTTGGAGGCTTTTCAAATTTCAGATGGAAAAAGCCAGGCTATGTTTGTGTTTGTACTCTTGGTGCTCATGAAAAAATCAATAATTGTGTCATTAGGAATGGCTGCTTTTGTTGTCCCTTTCTTAAGCTTTGCTGCTGGTACTATTTTCTTCATATTCCCCTGCATCCATATCTTTTTCTTCTACGGTTCTTCTCTTCACTCCCTCAAGAAGTATTTCTCAGCCCTTCCTGGTGGTAAAATTCGAAGGAACAAAGGATTAAAAAGTAATTATTTGGGACATATATTGGTGGATGAGAAACTCAACATGGCCTGGCAATTGCTTGCAGCCCAGAAGGCCAGCAGCATCCTGGACAGCGTCAAAAGGAGTGTAGCTGGCAGTGAAGGGAGGTGATTCTCCCCCTCTGCTTTGTCCTTTTGAGAACCCAGCTCTAGAGTCCTCAGCACAGGAAAGATGTGGACCTGTTGGAGGGCCACAGAAATGATCAAAGGAGTGGAGCACCTCTCCTTTGAAGACAGACTGAGAGAGCAAGAGTTGTTCGTCCTGCAGAAGACAAGGCCCTGGGGACACTTAAGCAGCCTTTGAGAACTTAAAGGAGGGCTGCAAGATAGATGGAGAGGGACTTCTTACAAGGGCTTGTAGTGGTAGGACAAGGGGGGATGGCTTTAAACTGGATGACAGTAGATTCAGAGATTTCAGAGAAGTTGTGGATGTCCCATCTCTGAAGTGTTCAAGGCCAGGGTGGGTGAGGCTTTGAGCAACCTGGTCTAGTGGAAGGTGTTCCAGCATATGGCAGGGGGCTTGGAACTAAATGTTATTTATGGTCCCTTCCAACCCAGACCATTCTATGATTCTATGATAATTTGATTTACCTTCTTCCCTTAACTATGTTTTCTTCAAGTAAATGTATTTCAATCAGCAGGCATAGCAGGTATTGTTTTATTCTCCGGGTGACTGAAGATACCTTCAACGGCTGCTGCAACAAGAAGACTGTTCAATATTTGTCTCCCTCAGGATGACTTTTGCAGGATCTAATCTGCATGAAATCAGTTCTCTGCCTTCGACTACAGCTGGCAAACTGCTAAATAGAAAATCATGGTTAATAGAGGATCAGAACCATTTGACTCATCATTGTAAAAACAATAAAATTTAGTATTTAAGTAATAGTGAAAACTTTGTTTTGACTCACTTAAAATATTCACAGAAGAGTTAAAATGAAGGATAGAATTCTGTGATATATATAGCTGAGTGTAATTCTCAGAATTGTGAATTAATTTAAAATTGTGTTTTTCAGAAATCAGAGATACAAGGCATGCTGAAAACTGTGAATATGAAACAGTAAAGTATAAAATAATTTGGAAGTGAGCAACTATACTGAAGACATTTGTCTTATCATTTTTTTTTCATTAAAGATATTAACATAAGCTGCTACAGAACTTGGGGAATTTTTGAAAGAGTACAGTAGAGCTGGATGTTGAATCCACGTTAAATTTCTTCCTGTCTTCAAGGAAGATTTATTGCAGTAAAGCATTCTCAGTTTTATTTGCCTGTTTTAAATTTTTCATAATCACTTCAACAAGAATAAAAGAATAAATAGTTGTATTTCACACAAAAAACCAAAATACCTTAGAATGGTTTATAATAATGATAACACCTCCCTCCCCAATGAAATAACTGCCGTATACATTTGGTAAACTCTTTTTCTATGTACATCAGCAGTATTGTCCCAGCTGAATTCAGTGGAGTCAGAAATAAACTCAATGAATCTTTGTCCTTTAGGCAATCTGTGAGATTTTCTTTAGCATGTTAAGAGTGAAAATTTTTTATAAGAATTATATACAAATTTAAATGAAATGTATCTTTTAAATGTTTACTTTATGCAAAGCGTTTTGTCATGTTAAGCACCAGATTTTTTAATTTACAAAAAAAACCTCTAGCCATGTTTTTGATAAATACAGATTTCAATAAGTCTGTCAGAGTGTACTGCAAATATTACTTGTTAGAATTTAGGATTACATGATGTTATGATTGGAACAATTTTCTTATGACAAAACATAGAAAATGGAGTTGCTCAATGCTTGTTACTATTTTGGAGGATTGTTAAAATTAAACAGAGGTGTCTTTTGGTACTGAAGCCATCTTTCAGGCATTACTTAGTGAATATTGAATGCCTTTGTAATACAAGACAAACCTGTACTTGACACAGGACACTATGCACATGATTGGCCCCATTTATTGCAATAAAAATTACCATTCACATAAAGCAGGAATATTCTTAAAATATCTTGATGACTCGTGGAGATATAGTTTATTTTCCTATCAGTCTAAAAATATGACCTAGCTGGTTCTGATTACATCTTAGAATTTCAAGTACATAAGTACTTTCTTTACAATCTCTGCAATCAGGAAATTTAATACCAGGAAGAAATTAATCCCTCCTTGCAATGCATCACCTAATTTAAAAATCATCTATGAATTAAACAACACTATTTGTCTAAACCCTTGGAAATATCAGGTAAGTATACATTTTTGAGTCCTCTAAGGTGTGCTAAGTAGGAGAATTTTTATAGATATGCAAACATCAGTATTGTAGTGTGTATGCCCTAGATTGCTACATAATTTTTAGTTACTTTATCTTTGAATATTTAAAACATCAGGATTAACTTCACAGGTTTCTTGTTTTCTCACCACTCAAAAGAGTTCAGCACAGTAAAACTTAAAACCTTTACCAAGAAAGAAGATTCAAGGATGCTCATTATTATTATCCTAAAACACTTTTTTCAACATATTGAGGTTTTTAGCTACATACAGAAAAAAAAAATAAAAAATCTTTTTTAGCAGATCTCCATATGAGTGCTTCTATTTCACAGCAGGAAAATGAAATAATGTATTTTTATTCTGTTCTCTGCTCAGCTGTTTTTCTTTTCTAGAAAAGGAGATAAAACTCCTTAGAAAAAAAATCCAGTGTTACGGACATTGTGGTTACATCTGTTGTAATTAACAGTTTCATAGAGGATGCTACTAGTATAGTGAAAACCAAGCCCACAAAAACAATTTACTCTGGTGCATGACAACTTGCTCACCATCTGACATTAAAAGTACTTTAATCTGCAGAAACTAGGGAAAAAACAAATGCCAATTATTCGTGACATTTCTGAAAATTGAGGAAGAAAATTGGGTTGTGCTGGGGTAAAGAATCTGGTAAATAAAGTGGAGGAAGTAGAATGTGACAAGTTAAGAACACGGGTGAGTTTTGGCATTAATGAGAGATGTGTCACGGCCACGCGATGGCAGCAGAGGCTGCGGAATTAGGGTTGTTTTTAACACTAAACCACGGATAAACAGGATGTGCCCTGAAGTTCCTAACTGCTACTTCGGGTTCTAGAAAATATACATTATGTATAAGTGGTATGTTCATCAGGCCAGAAGTTTCTGTGGAGTGGAATTACATAGTATTCATTTAAAAAAACCCACAAAACCAAAACCAAACTAAACCAAACCAAAACAAAACCAAAAAGCCCAACAAAACCGGAAAAACCCAAACCAAACAAAAAAACCTCCAAAAAAATAACAAACAAACAAAACAACAACAAAACCCACCATGTTTGAGGCTTTTTTTTTTTTTCAGTAAGACAGTATTTTTTTTTTTTTTTTTTTCAGTAAGACAGTATTTTTTATCTTATTTGCCAGTATTTCTGTCTTCCTCAGTTACTTAAGTTACAGAGAAGAATAGGCCTATTTTGTTAAAAGCAAGACAGTTGCTTCCTTATTCCCAGGTTCTTTTCCCAGTACTTTTGTCCACAGGAAAGAACTGTGGTACAAAATCCCTTTTGGGGAAAACTAATTTTGGAGAAAATTAAAGTCTACAACTCTTTCAGTTTTCAAGAGGAGGACTAAAAAACTGTGCCTGCTCTAAAACAGTCTTGAACTAAGGAAGCAGAACTTTTTGCCTCAGATCAGTATAAATTAATAAGCTCTACCTCTGTAATTTAAAAAGAAAACTACAATGTTCTCATTATATCCAAACTAGATGTTCTTTCTGAAATCATATACAGCTATTTATATGTATCCTTCATATGACAAGTTCTAAGAAGTCAGGTTTGTGCAAGATAGTAAACAAAACCTCATCATTCCAGAAGTTAAAAATTATCTTCCCAAGAAGTTGAGATTTTTTTCTTCTGAAATGTATAAAAGCAAGTCTTTAATATAGAATTCTTTCCTGGAAAAGGCACAGTCCCTTTTCTGTGTTCCAGATAGCACCGTTTGCTTTCTGTGGTCTGTTTCCATTATGTGTTCCAGATACTACACTACAAGTTCAGCTTTAATCAAACAAGACAGTCCAGAGAAACCTCCATCAAAGCCTCTCTTCAATCCAGGCAAATAATTCCATTAGAATTTCCTGCTGGAGCATGACATTTTGCAGATCTGAAAGGCAACCAGGCAGAGTTTAGACAAGTAGCTTTCTGGATGGCTTTGATGGACCGGAGCATGGGCTGAACATTCTCCAAAGTCCTGTTTCCTGTGACTATGAGAGTTGTCTTGAGAGTTGCCCTACCCTTCAGAAGGGTGGCAGCTGCTCTTAGGAAAAGTCACTCTTATAAAAGTGTTTGTTTTCCAATGAAACCAATGAGTCTACAGGGTATGCACAGACCAGAGGTCTTCTCTCTTGGCCCCTGACTGGATTGCTCCAATATGGCAGGAAGTGGTGAGGAAGACCACAATCATCAGCTGGGAGATTGATTCAGCAATATGCATAATTTTGGGTAGCCAGAAGAAAACTCATTCACTAGCTCATTTTGTGCAGCCAGACTCCTGCACTGGATGAATGAGTCTTTGCAATTAGCGTGAGTTTGCCTAAAGCACTGTGGATTCCCTTCCTCTGGGCTGTGATTCAGCTGCTCTGTCAGGACTACCTGAGGTGTTCAAAGCAAGCACTGTCTCACAGGGCCAGCAACACCATAAATAAGCCTTTTGCAGATGAGCCTTGCTTGCTCCTGATGCAGCAATTGAAGGTGTTACTGCTCTGCCAGTCTTAATAGTGCAAAAACCCCCACAGTCCCATTCCTCTACTGGTCCTAGGTTTGAGGGGGGTTGTCAGTATAATTTTTAGGTTGTAGACCTGAAAAGCAAAGAAATAAATTGTCTGATAACTCCAGTAGTGAGGGTTTAGATGGCGTTTTCCCCCACAATCTGAGGACTGATAGATTAAATTACCTGGAGTGTGAGCACATGGATTCACAAAAGACAGTCCTGTTTTACCAATCTGGTATCTTTTTATGATACAGTCATACATCTAATGGCTGAAGGAAGGACAGTGAACACAGTTTTTTCTGTAGGAAAGCAAGGCTTTCTCCTTTTGGACAAGTTATCCAAACATGGGATGAGCTGGTTCACAGTGCTGGTGAAGAACTGGCTGAAGGACAGGACTCATGGGGTTGTGGTGATGGGGTCACATCTGGGTGGTTACTGGTCACCATCAGTGCTCCTCAGGGCTCAATCCTCTTCGCTTCCCTTCTCTTCTGTAGAATGGCTGTTCTGTGCAATTAGGGGCAAATGCCAGTTCAGGAGATATGAGAAGGTCTCAGCACACATCAGGAGAAGACAACAGTCTTATTGAGGGACCAGAGATTTGTTAGAGACAACTGAAAATCTGCATGCATTTATTCTGTGTACAACAGACATCCAAGGAGCTAACTCCTTCTGCCTCACTAAAGGCCTTAAGCTAACAGGGGTTTTTCAGCTGAAAAATTAATATGAGTTCTTTCCCTAAGGTGTTACTATGAGTTCTTTCCCTAAGGTGTTACTGTGGCTAGTTTCCCAGTTTCTAAAGAAAATGTTGACACATATATCAAAATGTGGTATCTGTCACTTTTCTTGTCAAAGTATGTTAATTGGACACAACTTCCTATAGAATCTCTATCTTGTTTATACTTTTGCTTGTTTTATTTCTAATCTTAGATCAGCTTCTTTTCAAAACTCAAAGCTCTCTTTTTCCTTTCTCCCATTACATTCTGATTCTTTTATCTACACCCTTCTGTGAGTCTCCAATAGTCTTCCAGTCCTTACTCAGAATTAGATTCTCTTGCTTATTATTCTAGCACTAATGCTGTTGAATATTCTTGTGGCTGATACCAAAAAAAATCAAGATAGGACCACTAACTGTCCAACATAACTTGAAAATCTTTCCCCAAAGCTATATCTTTTTTCTATGCCCTGCTGTCACTTGTTAAATCTCCATCTGAAAACAGTATTTACTGCTTATTTTGAAGGCTAATTCAAATAAAAGATTAAAGAGCTAAAAATATTTTTTCCTTACTAATTGGTTAAACAGGTCCACAGAATGTGGAATATAATGTATGATTCAAAGAGATAATACAATAAAAATATTTGGGATTCTGGAAAACTGAATCATGTAGCCAATAACGATTTTGCACCTTCCACAACTATATGTGGCCATATAGGAGTAGAAATGATAGGAGATTAGAGTGCAGAAATTAGTCATGTAGTCATTGGCAAGTGAATGTATCAGATCAGTCTATCCAGCCTTTCTTTTCTACCACACAAATAAAGTTGTACAAGTCTCTGTATTTTGAGCTGGTAAAGAATTCACTGTCAGCTGTTGAGGGAGCAGTCATATTCAGTCCAATACATACTGGGTTCCAGTTATTACTTATGTGTCCAAGACACCTCTGAAATGATCCAGGCATCTTTAGAGGTTCTGTTTTTTTCAAGTAAATCATCTGATAGAAAAATCAGATGAGTGGGAGGAGAGGCAGAGGTTATTGTGATAGACAGAGCATGAGTTGTCAGAAGGATTATGGGGAGAGGAGCTCCAGGATAATATCTACCCACAGGCATAGCTGCTGAACTGCAGAAGCAGTAGAATATCTTAAGGTGTGTAATTTAGGATATAGCCTTTGTGGAAAAATTAATGTACGGGATGAACGTCTCAGATTGTCTCCAAGAGAACTAATTCTGATGTCAGACTTGATCAGTTATTTCTGGCATACCTTTCCTGACTAAAAAAAGCCTTTTTTATCTAACTGTACCAGAGAGTAATAGAAAAACATGCTCTGGGTTATCCTTAGGCATGTGCAAACCTTATACTTGTCCATAACTATCAAAGCAGGAAAAAGTGAAATGAGGCAGATGGGCAAATTATTCCAACAAGAGCCCAGCTAGATAATTTGATATACCAAGAAACCTCCAGAATTTCTGTGAAAATCTGACATGTACAAATGTAATAAGTACAAGCTGTGGGTAGCTTTTGTATAAGGAGAAGCATCTGCTATAAAACCCACACTGCCTGGCAACTGTGTGGTATCTGACAGGCTTTGAGGTTTCCACTGCAGGAGCAGAAATTGGATACTGCTTGGGATTGCCTATTGTCAGGGCAAAATGTCATGTTCGAGGTAACATTCTTTGGCCTTAGCAGGGGTTAAGAAGGAATAAATTATGTGAGGAATGTGGTGGCCTGGTGGTTACATGTTCCTATTATTCTGCTGAGTTATGCTTTTTGTAAAAAACTACACAAAAGAAGTCAGGAGATGACCTCACAGACTCATCTAGCTGTGCTAATAACCACAAAGGTGGAAGGAAGCACAGAAACAGTAAAAATACCCAGAACATAACGTAGCTGGGCTGCCTTTTTTCAGCCATATCCCTGTTGACTAAGAAATAGTTTTCTTTTGTCTGGTTCAGACTTGTCTATCCTTTAGGACAGATGCTTTTAAAAAGGTGACCCAAAAAAAAAAAAAAAAAAGGAGAGATAAAAGTAATGGAGGACCATTTTTGAAATGAAGGATTATATTCTATAAAAGATTAGCAAGGATGTGTGGAGTTAATGGAAATCTTTGAGTGTCTTGAGAGTGCTAACAAAGAGGGTAGTTTATGAAGAATTGCATTGCAGGTATTGGCTCAAAGTTTGCAGGTACATCCCCCGTGAAGGATCCTCCGAGGTGGGAAGGGCAGGGGGAGGTACTGATTCCTCCCTTTGGCAGACCTGAACATCAACTTCAAACGCTCCTGGGTACAAAAGAACGGCACCACCAACCTCACCTCGGTAGTATGCAAGCCTCACATCCACAATTTGAAAAGAAAATGGGATGTGAGGACACAAAAGTAAATCGAAAATGAGAAAACCACTACACAGGTTTAGAATCGTAGAACTGTAGATTCATAAAATGTCCCGTCCTTGGAAGTGTTCAAGGTTGCGTTGGATGGATGTTTGAGCAACCTGGTCTATTGGAAGGTGTGGCAGGGGGGGTTGGAACCATATGATCATCAAGGACCCTTCCAGCCCAAACCATTCAAAAATTCTATGGTTTACCTAAGGTAGGTCGCTACAATTGAATTGATAATCCCTCTGACACTGAAGCACAGGCGACAGGAACAACTTGTGGATGGAGAAGGAGGGGGCGGTTCGAGAAGCGCGGCCGAGNAAGGAAGGGAACGAGCGAGCGAAGGAGGAGAAGAGCCGGACGGAGATTCCCGCCCGGCGCCCGAGGTAGCCGCCCCCATCGGGGTCCCCCTCCGCCGCCTGCGGGCTGCGCGCCCCCTCCATCCGCCTCAGGGCGCCACCGCCGGGATGAGCAGCTCGCGGAACAACCGGGTGATGGTGGAAGGAGTCGGGGCCCGGGTGGTCCGCGGCCCGGACTGGAAGTGGGGGAAGCAGGATGGCGGCGAGGGCCATGTGGGCACCGTGCGCAGCTTCGAGAGCCCCGAGGAGGTGGTCGTGGTGTGGGACAACGGCACCGCCGCCAACTACCGCTGCTCCGGGGCCTACGACCTCCGCATCCTCGACAGCGCGCCCACCGGTGAGCGGGGAGGGAATGGAGGCTCCTCCACCCCCACGGCGGTGGGTCCGGGGGCAGCACCCCGGGGTGCTGGGGGGTCCCGTCCTGGGGAGCGGATTGCGCCCTTCCTTCTCCTTTTAGAGGTGCGCCTTTGCCTTGGATTTGGGCGGGGGGGAGTCAGGCACCCTCCCCCTCCCCGCGTGGTGTGTGTCTGTGCGCGTCCGTGTGTCTGTGTGTGCACACGCAAACTTGGGACAAATGTACAGCGCGGGGCCGCGGCGACAGAAGTTGTCCCGGGACTGCTAAATTGGGGTTGACAAAGCAAAAGTGATCTGCCACAGACTGCAGGTTCCTCTTGTGCTGGGCAGGAGGTGGAGAGTGGAAGCCGAGAGGGTGATACACCAAGGTTTGGGTTTGCTTTCACACCCCGATCCCCACCTTTTGAATTTATATTTCAGAACAATTTTGTAAAATAGCGTCAGTTATCCTTGAATCACTAGTATAGGGGTAATTGCAGAGGAGATGTACTACCTTTTTACTAAAGGTTACACTAAGTGGTTGAAATACTGTGGTTTTGTGCCTGTAATCTGCATGTTGCCTTTTATCTGTATTGCCAAAGCTACTGTAAAATAGTAAAGGTACTGGGAGGAAAAAAGTGCATGGGTTCATTCTTTTAATTACTTGGCTGCTTGATATTTGTGCTTTAAATCCAGTCATTTTGGACAATGGAATTTGATCTGGACAGACATTATGCGGCAGTGTTAGTGTTGCAAACACTGCAGGGAAATGTTCATTTTAGCACCTGTTTTTACAGTGAAAACTCACACAGAAAAATATAAATTTTGTTAAGTTTATTCAGAAATATCGTGAGGTGGCTTTTGAGCCAGTTAGGATTGCCTCAGTAATGAGATGTTTGCACTGATTTGTTGAGGCACTTGAGCTTTACTCTTTTGTAATGTGTCTTTCACTTATGATGGAGAGACCATCTTTGTGCCACCTATGTGTAGTGTTACAGCAAGGAAAATTATAGCAGTAGATTGAAGCTAAAAGATCTGAGGAGACAGAATCATGGAATTCATTCCGACTAATTAAAAACACGTTAAAACCATGAAAAGAACCCCAAATATTGCATGGTTATCCTTTGAGATGGATTTAATTTTTCAGTGACTGGGTACGTTCCTCTCAGTTGGCATGATGATGATATTTTTTTTGAAAATCCTTTTGCATTGGGCTTTTAAAGCAAGAAAGGGGAGTCTTTCAAGTTGTGCTTGTGTTGCAGATGTTTATGCTTAGAAACTTTCACCGGTGTTTGATGTCCTGTAGAAACCAGTGGGACTGCTTCTGCTTAGAACTGAAGCGTATGCATAAATGTTGCATATGAGCCTCAAATACTTATTGTTCTGGCCCCGCCTGACGTATTTGCAAGCAGATGGTGTCCTCTTAACTGTATCTGGAAGCCCAGGCTTAATACTCAGTTTTGAAACTGTCATGGTTTTATTCCTGTTTTTTTGCTTTATTCCTTCTGAATTTTCGTTTCTGTTCATATTTTTGTATTCGAATTTTAACTTCTGTTTCAGATAAAACTGTGTACATTGTGTCACACACATTGCTGTTGTCACACTTAGCAAAATGGTGTCTCTTCCTGAGGTTTCTGGTGAGCATCATCCTCATGGAACTGTTGCGTGGATGTACTTAGGGTTGCATTTTGCTAGAGGAAATTTACGTTTCAGGTCTTTATTCCCTGGAGATAGGAAGAGTAAAAATCTGTAAAGTAGTTGTAACAAAAGGGTAAAGTTAATAGAGTTAAGGTGCTGTCAGTTTGGACTGAAATCCTGGGTTTACTGCTGATTCACTTTGTAGTCTTGTCTAAATCACTTCCCTTCTTTACTTTTTGGTAATGCTTTATTTTTTCTCTATAATGGTGACTGTCCATTGTTTAGAGTAAGGGAGTATGACTTTGGATGGTCGTTTGATACTTCTCTAGGGACATTAATGTAAGTGGGATTAGGTGACAGGAATTTATTGTTGTAATATTGATGATGTTGTTGAGCAAGGAAATGTTAAAAGGCATGGGGTGGCTTTTTGTTTGATGATACTAAGTGGACTGTGTGTCATGGCTTTTACAGTTTAAAATGAAAAAAGTTCTCTGGTTCATGGATTTCCAGTCACAATATGATTGCAAGTTTATAGTGAAAATAAATATAAAAATACAGTAGTAAAAATAAAAATTGGTTATTGCTGGGAGTTTGTTCTGTTATGTATTCAAAACCAGTCTTGATTATAGGTTCTTAGAAGTAGTGCTGGCAGCCAGAGTTACTGTGTTGAGTTTGAGGCCTGTGCAGCTGGGAACAGTAGTTCAGTAGGTTCCTTCAGAAATATAGAAGTAATGTTTGAAGTTCATTCTATTATTTTATTTATTTATTTTTTTTTTTAATGGCAAATTGAGTTTGGTTTGTGTATGTGCATATATATGTGTATGCCAGAACTATGCTTCATAGACTTAAAAAATACACTGTTCTTGTCTTTCAGTGGTTGTAGGCTATTACCAGCATTGTGACACTGTTAACATCTTAGAAAACTTGAATAGCCTTAGTGCTAAGATACTAGGATGGTCTTCTTAAAATGAAAACTCATTTACATGAGTAAGAAGAATGTCTTATAAATACTTTGCTCCAGATGTAGTCATCTGGGTCATGAGGGACTTGTGATATGAAGTTTGGGATTGTTTTGGTTATGTCTACCAGGCTTGCTGTATTAGCTGTCCTTTGGTGTGATCATATTTACATTGCCCTACATTGCTTTAAGTGAGACAGGGCACTTGAGAGGGATTGGTAAAGCAAACATTTGAAAAGAATCAAAATTTCACATAGAAGTAAAACTTAAGTAGGTCCTGTGTAGGTGGCTTCTCAGTGGAACAAGTGGTCAGATGTGATGCATCAGTAGTGCAGTGTGGTTGTTCAATTACTTGCAAATCTGTTTTTTCTGTGAAGTAGCCTTTTGCCAGGATCTACAAGTCTTGAGTGTCCCCCTTTTTTGGTAGTGTTGTGGAAAAGAAACAGAAAGGAGTAGTTTTCTGAGTTGCTGAAGAGAAGCAGGAAAGTTGTAATCCAAGCTTTTTATTTAGTAAGGAAGGCAGCCTTTTACCTGAGGTAAAGGCCAGACAAGTAGCATATTTGTAGAGAAAAATCTGGCTGTATTCACATAATAGTCATGAACATTACAGAAACTTTTTCTGTTTATTCTCTTTTTGAAGATTTGCTTTCTGTAAAGCTTAGAATTCATTTGTCATTCATTTCCTTTCTTATACAGTTGGTTCAGAGTAACAATTATTTTTTTCCTGCCAAAAATGTTTACCAAATTGTGTTTGAATGAGGGGAGGTGGTGGAGGGGATCAGGAAATAGAAAACTTGATACAGAATTATCCCCCAGCTGGAGTGTGCAGCAGTGCAGTCTGGAAAGCATTGTGTGCTGTATTCTGGTAATATTGAAAATCTAGGTGTTACCTGTGGAAGATGAGTGGCTTTCTGTACTTGTATTAATAGGTTTTTGTACCTCAAAAGTGGCATAATTGATCATGAAGTCAGCTACGTTAAAACATTTTAAAAGACAGAGCACCTATGATTTATCCTGCATATTTATTTGTTCTTGCTTTTAGAACATCAAGTGTAATATATGGCAAATTGTCTTAGTCAAGATTTTTTTAGTGGCTACTTGTAAATATTTACAGGAGACCTCACAAATTAAAAAAAAAAAAAAAAAAATAATAGCTTCCTGATAATACACTATCCTGAGTAGTGATATTTGGGAGGTCTGGTTTTTTTTAAATAAACGTGTTCTTTTTTCTTCCTGCCCTTCCCCTTGTCTCCTACACTATAATCCTCTCCCTTCCTGTGTATCTTGTGATTCCCTTACCAGATAGGACACATGCTTTAGCAAGTCTGGCATTTTGCATCTATAATAATAATAGTTGGTCAGTTGGCTACTTCCAAATGGTGTATTTAGTAGAAGAGTTATGTTTGTGGGAACACTGGTTGGAGTTTTCATGCAGATTTTCAGAATCTAACTGGTTATCTCTAAGAATTCTTTGTTTTCAATTTACCTGGAGTCTGGCTGTAGTGTAAAAATAGTCTGGAGTGAAGGAATAGGAAGAACAAAATACTGTTACTGCTTTTTAAGTCAGTGTGTATACAAACCAATTTTTTAAGTTGTTTACAGAGTCCCATACCTGATGGTAGTATTGTCATGATATGCACGGATTTTGGTTCATTACAGTTGAGTAGAGAGTAACGACTCCACTGGAAACCAGATTTTGTTTGTTCTGAGAAGGGAAATAACTATTGGTGTTTTCTGTGTTTAACAGTGAGTGATGTGGATACCTTTTGTACATCTGATTTTACTGTTAAAATCCCTTTATTGGACAGCTGTAGATTACCATCTAATTATCTTCAGTACAAAAGAACTATTTGTAACAAATTCAAATAGCAATTTGAGCAACACTGCTTTTATTTCCTTTCGCAGCTGTAAGAGTGAGCATGGGTTTCAAAAACTTGTGAAAGGCTGTAAAATTGATGTATAAATGAGTAGACAGGAATGGTAGGCTAGGTAATCCAGAGAGGATTTGGGAAGAGATGAGAAAATTGAAGATAACCATGACATTAAGGTGAAAAACTAATATGAAATTCAAATAGTAAAAAGCATTAATGACAAGTGGACATCAGGAATATTGGATTTTGTGGTCTACTAAAGGTGAATGTACATAAGGAAATGGCCGCTATTTAAAAGTCATTAGGCATGGTGAAAGTACGCTTCTCATTACCTGGTTTGTTTTGGTTTTTAAAGTGTATATGTCACAACACCTGTTTAATTTTGAAATACCCTGATTCTAGGAAATTTTGAAGAATATTTAGAAGTTTTGGTTTTTTTTGTTAGTCTCAGTTTAGAGAGCTAAAGTGCTCTTTTGGTGCACAGCTGGTCAGCTATAGTGCTGCTGTTTGAATTTTGAAGTTTTTATGCCACTTCAATTTATTCCAATAGTTTAATGAATGCATTCTTTCCTAATATGATACAAACTTTGTAACATTTGTGTTTCTCAAGCTTTCTTAAACACCCTTCCTTTTGAAGACAGATTATGTGACAGATTTTGCTTTTGGGTCAGGGTTTTAGTTTGGCTCCAGAGCCTACACTTGATGCGGTCTCCTGGTTGTTCTTACATACTGTGCTTTGATTTTACATAATGGATGTTTTGAAGTGCATAAAGTAAAAGTAAAAATTTTTTTGGTAGAAGTAAATTGAAATACATGATCTCGATGCTGATGAGCCTTCAGTCCGCTGGGATAGAACTAAACTAGTCTGAAACACTGCACATAGTATCTCCTTCCCTCCCCCTGAGTATGTGTAGTGGCACATACTCTGTGAGTATGAGTATGTGTAGGGACATGTGTAGTCAGGTCCTCAGTGCTGAGTTTTGGTGTGTGGATGGTTAACCAGCATATGGACACCTTGGTGATGCACGTTGTCCCCGTGCCACCCATAGAATGCCACAGAGGAGCAGGAATCCTCACTGCAGCCCATGGGGGAGCCCATGCTTAAAGAGTGTTTTCCTGAAGGGGTAAAGTTTGTGGAGAGGACCAATAATGGGGTAGGGGAAAAGTATAAGGAGCTGTTACAGGCTGACCCTCCATTCCCCATCTACATGAAAAAGGTTGCCAAGCACTGGGACAGGCTGCTCAGAGGAGTGGTTGAATAACCATTTAGAAGTATTTAGAAGATGTGTAGGCACCACGGTGCTTAGGGATGTGATGTTGGCAGTGTTAGGTTGGATGGTCTTAAGGGCCTTTTCCAACCAAAAAGACTGTGAGTTTAATCTACCCTGGGAAAAAGCAGGGAGATAGAGGAGTTTGGAATGAAGGAATGCAGTTGTCTCTGTGAAGAAGGTGAAGTATAGGGAGAAGGTGTTTTAGTTTTTGTTTTCCTCACCATTCTCTCTTTTTTTTTAATTAGCTATACATTTTCCCCAAATCAAATCTCTTTTGCCTGTGATGGTGAATAATTTAACTTTTAGCTTGACCTAAGCTGTTTCATTTTGTTTTCACTCTTTGTCCTGTTGAAGAGGGAGAGTGAGAGACTGATTGGGAGGACACCTAACAGCCAGGCAAGGTCAACCAACCACCCTTGTGTACCTATAATATCTAATCAAACTTTAATTCTTCCAGTAATCTTTAACATGTATCATTGATCTAATTTTTTTTATATTATGACCATGAGTAAGAGTTTAGTATCACATTATGTGATCAGTAGTAGCACCTTCTTTTACCTTTTTTTTTAGCATTGGAAGTTCAAGGTCTCTTAGTCCACTGTGACCAGAAGCTTACAAATCTGCTTCTTCCTCCAGATCTCTGGTGCAGTGGTTAGACATTGTGTAAGAGGATTACTTGCCTACTCCTGCCTTCCAGTTCTTTGTTTCTCATGGCAGTAGTGTTGTGCACCTCGAAGAATGAGGCTGGGAAATCAGTTCAGCTGAATATTTTTCCTCCTGGCTGTTTTCCAGCCTGGTATGTTTCTTGGTGCAGTTTGCATCTCAGCTCTGCAAAAACCTTTTGCTCACATAATGGAAAGAATGGAGTAGCATGGTCAGGTGAAGCATGCGCTGAAGTGGCTGTTGCTGTTGGAATCATGTGTCAGGGAATGGATGAAGAAAGGCCATATCTATCAGGATGTTGTTTAGGGATCTGTGAGATACAGGTATGTCCCTTTAGAAAAGAAACTTCAACTACAGGCATGCACTCTTCTGTTTTTTAAGTCCAAGATGCTATGGTCAGTAAAATTACTTGAGTCAAATATCTTTGTACAATGTTTTTTTCCTGGTGTTGGGTCAAGTGAAAGAATCCTACAGCATCCAATTCCTTCCCAGAAGTTCAACAGACATTAAATAATATAATCAAAAAATGTGTAACTTCTGTGTGAAGTGCCAATTTAGAAATCAGTTAGAAATAAAACAAAAACAAATACTACCTCTCAACCCCAAGTATATATATATAGTTATATACTATATATAGTCTAACTATAGTTATATACTATAACTAGTTAGACTTTTTAAACAAGGTGACAAAAACACTAACAAGGTATTTCAGTGCTCTTATTGCAACCACTTTTGAAGACTTTGGCTTTGAAACAAGAAAAAAAAAATAGTAAAATGCTTCAATACTATCCCTAGAGCAACTGTAGTCCTACTGAGAGTAAAGGGAAGGGCTGCAAATGTGTTGCAGAGTTTTAAGGGCGTCTGTTACAGGAAGAGAATGAGGGATCTATCTGCTGGTGCTTAGTCTGGGGAAGAGAAGGCTCAGGGAGATCTTAAGGGTGTATATAAATACCTGATGAATGTTCTAAAGAGGATGGAGCCAGGCTCTTTTCAGTGGTGTCAAGTGACAGGGCAAGAGGCAACGAGCACAAATTGAAGTACAGGAATTTCCGCTGAAACAGAAGAAACATTTTTGTTCTAGGGATGCTTGAACACTGGAATATGCTGAGTTGTGGAGTCTGTTCTTGGTGGTGCTCAAAACCTGACTGGATATGATCCTGGGCATACAGCTCTCGCATACCCTGCTTTGAGCAGTGGTTGTTGGAACAGAGAATTTCCAAATGTTACTTCCAACCTTGGCTATTATATGTTTCTGTGAAATGATCAAATACGAAGGCATTTCCTTCAGTTTTGCCTTTTCAACTGTTGATTTTTCTTTGCTACAGATGGTTCAGCTGTTGGGTGTAAGTGACTAATAGTGATTTTATAGTGAATTTGGCAGTCATTTCTGAAAGCATCCCTTCTGGAGGGGGCAGAATCCATTCTTTTTCCTCACTTAATTTCAGATTGATCTGGGTTTTTTTTTAAGGGGAAGTGACTGGGAAACTTCTGTGATACTTTAGTTTCTTAGTGCTCATTTCTGTCTAGTGCTACAGACTGAATGCTAGTGCTTCTCTCTTCTATTGCTCAATTTTTTCCAAACAGCAGCAGAATTTGATTTTTTTTTTTAAATAAACTTGGGGCTGTTCACTCTATTCAGAATGGGTCAATGAAAATTTTGTGACATCATTTTCACTCTGCTGTAGCTTGGCAGAGCTGTAAGACTAAAGTCATACGAAGTGGATCAGTTTTTGTGGAAGGCTTGTGAGAGCCCATGCTGGTGAGTTACATCTGGTCTGTCTCTGACACATTCTTTTTAAAAACAAAATCAGAATAACAGTAAAATGCTTCAAAAATGGGAACAGATTTTCATCAAGCTAATGGCATCTCTCCAAGAGAGCTTAATTCTTTTCCTGTATAAAAAAGAATAGAGACAAACACTTACATTTTCCAGTGTACAAAATGTGTAAGTCAAACCAGTAATTTTCAAGCTGTCAGACACAGTGGAGCACAGTAGCCTTTGTGATAGAATGTGTGTTGATAGCTGTACTCTAGAGATAAAATTCTAGATTGCCCTGTGTATTTTGATAAACGTTTCTTATTCTTCAACTTTTAGTGAAAAGATTTCTCATTTTCTTTTTCTCCTTTGTATAGATGGAAGGAAGCAGACATAGCCTTCTCAGCTTTTTAAGCTTTGAGAATATAGAATATTTCAGGAGCAAACTGACAACTGGAGATACAAGGCAAAGTCCTCTATCTTTTCTCCTCAGTGATATAGGCTGATAGGGTATAAGCAGCAGCTTTTCTTTATTGTTGACTTTCTAGTATATGGTTTCAAATTATAATGGTGTGCATCAGAAGTCTGTGTAGCAATGCAGCAAAGATTTTAGGTTTGTTTGTTTTTTTGGTTTCCCTCTCACAGGTATCAAGCATGATGGGACTATGTGTGATACTTGTCGACAGCAGCCTATCATTGGTATCCGATGGAAGTGTGCTGAATGCACAAATTATGACTTGTGCACAGTTTGCTATCACGGGGACAAGCATCACTTGAGGCATCGTTTTTACAGAATTACTACACCGGGAAGTGAAAGGTAAAACCTAACTTACTCCTTCTGAAATCAAGTAGGAACAGGTATTTGTGGTGAACTTTTAAACTGAATATTTGGTTACTGAAATTTGGGTTAGGTAAGAGAGTGGCTCAAGGTTAGATTCTGTTTCTGGGAGGAGGATAACTAGCATAAGTCTTTGGATCTTGGAAAACCTGGAAACTTTAGGAAGAATGTAGTACAGGAAAAAGGATATGATTATTCAGTTTTGCTTAATCTCCTTGAGGCTTTCCTAGTTTTTGTGTTATCATATAGCAGCTTTAAAACAAAGGCAATTACCTTTACATTATGTGTTATCATAAAAAGATTTGTTAATGAATTCTGAATATGAAGGTTTAATTAGGTTCAATAGTGGTGTGGACAGACTGAGGGAATATACCTTCCTTGAAGGTTATGGAAAACAGAATGATCTGGGAATAAAAACTTGGACTTGAACTGTTTAAACTGCTCACTACAGGAAGCAGAGAAAAGATGCTATGCAGGGTTGTTCTACCCTTGCCTTGGTTTTCATGTTCTTAAACACCTGTTATCACCTCTCAGTGGAGAACTCTGAAAAAAATTGCATTTAGTGTGTGCTTGCATAGGTGTTCTTGACTTTAAATAATTTGTCTCAGTCCAAAGCCCCTCTCTGTTATGATTTATCTACCAGATAAGTGAGAGCAGTGATATTTGCCTGCTGCTAAATAGTTGGAGAGCCACAGAAAAACACTGCGTAAAGGCTAGACACTGTGGTGTCACCTCTGTGATGTTTCCTGAATGTTCTTTCATGAAATCATCAAAATATTTTCTTTTTCGATATGGTACTCATTTGAATGTGACGTGTAAGACAACATCTATATCTTCTTCTTGGAGAAGTTAGATTTACAAGGATTTTGTAAATTAGTGGTGTGCTTTAAACAGTTCTTTCACGGTTCAGGGAAGTGGCTGGAGCATACAACCTGAGGTCTCAAATTGTGTCTTATAGGGTCTGTGTTTAAGTTTTAACTGTGGCTCAGATGGCCAAGTCAGTGGGTTATTCAAAATGTAAGAATTTTTTTTTTTTTTTTTTTTTTTTTTTTTTTTTTTTAGCTTTAGGTACCAAATAGGTATCATAAACTTATTCTCAATTGGAATGTTGAATACAGAACAAGATTTAGAAGCTGGACTTAGAAATGCTGGCTTAGTGTAGTTAAAGTAGAATAGGTGACAAAATACATATGTTCTCTATTTCTTTTTTTTTGAAGTCTTGTTTCTTTGAGAATGCTTGCCAGGCTTTCTTTTCTTTCGTAGGTTGACGTTTCCTTTGTAGTTTTAAGAGGTTGGTTATGGTGAATACAGCACAAGTTTTAGTTTTGAAGATCGATTGTACACTGTGTAATATTGCTGGAAATTTTTTGGATCTTGTCACTTTCTTCCTTTCTTTGTTTACTCTCACTGAGCTCTTATCTAGAAGGCAGCTTCTTCTGCCAAGGAGCTGTATCTATTGGATCAAGCTTAGCTGAGAAAAAAATGATGGAAGTTAACTGTTTTAGGGCGGAGAAAATAGCAAAACAGTGCTGTTGAATTTGAGGAATGTCTCACAGGAAAATGGCAAAAGACATGTAAGAACGTTTTGATGAAGGGAAGCATATGCTCTTACTATTTTATTTTTGAGTTTGGGATATCATATGGGTAGCATGATGAAGTAATGTGTGTAGGTTTGTGTCTCAGTTTTCTAGGTGTTGGGAACTTTTTAAGAAGTTTCTCTAAACAAGATTACCTTGTGTTTTCAATAACTTTAATTTTTCTCAGGGAAAAAAAGTGGTCAGTATTTTCACATTCTCTTTGCATTGATTGTAACAGTTGAACTTTTTCCTTGTGTGCCATCTGCTGGATGTTAAAAGTTAGCAGGAGGCTGAGAAATTTCCTGAAGTGGTCAGGAAACATTCTGAATGTCAGCTGAAAAATTCTTTTGTCTGGCAACGTTCCTGGCATGAAGTAAGAAGTCTCGTAAAAATGGATGCTACTATATTGACTTAAATTTGCCAAGAGATGCAATAAAAAGCAAGTAGAAAAACTGAGGGAGGGGGGGAAAAAAGATGCTCTAAATAGCATAATTCTAAATAAAAGTGGCAGGACAGTTGTGGGACAGAAGTATTGGCTCAGAGTGCATCTAAGAGAAACTGAAATATGTTTATATGGCTCTGCATGTACTTTAATGATCTTAGTATAAATACAGATCTATATGCAAGCATTTACAAGATGAATGCTCCTACTAGGAAATCTGGAGAAAAATTGTTAAAATTAAAAAACTAATTATGAATATTCAATAAATCGAATGTTGGAAGATTGCGGATTTTTGTCTTGTATGCTGCTTGTGTGATTCATGCACTGAAATCTGGAGTTGTGGGTTATTTTTGTATTAAGATGCTCTCCTTCCCATCCCCAAAGATTTGTTTTGGACTTCCTTTATTATCTTGACATTTGTGGGTTCTTCTTTTAATAACTTCAGGGTATTGTTGGAGTCTCGACGTAAATCAAAGAAAATTACAGCAAGAGGAATCTTTGCAGGTGCCAGGGTGGTGCGAGGAGTTGACTGGCAATGGGAAGATCAAGATGGTGGCAATGGGCGTAGAGGAAAGGTAAAAATAAAACTGGTTTAAATAAAAAGCTGCACCTTTTTGTTCATGTGATGGACTCAGTGGCCTTTTAATTGTAGAGCAAAAATACAATCCTGAAAGCTACTATTTTAATTGGCTGGGCATTTTTAAATCTTATTTTGTAATTCTTAAGTGTTTAGAAAGAGGAGGGTGTGTCTACCATAGCCAGTATTTTACATTTTAGTACATCTTAATTTGCATTTTTTTACAATATCAGCACAGAATCTTTTTAATTACGAATTTTTTGTCATGGCTGTCTGCTTATGGTTGACTTGTAGCAACATTAAGATCTTGAGCTTATTTCAGTATTGCTAGAGAGCTGGTATAAAAACAGAGCTATCAGGAGTAACCCTGTCTAGTAATCACTGCATTCTGTAGTCTTACTGCTTGTGGGCCAGCACATTTGTGTATCTCTTGCTCTTGGTTTTCAGCGCTGGTACCCTCGGGTTTTGTTTTTCACCTAATGATTATAGGGACTTCTCCAGTTTAAAATTAAAAATCTTCACAAGTTTTGGGTGTGGATATTATGTTACTGGCTTAGGACAATATAGGAGTGCTTTTGATGCAGTGCTATAGTGAAAATATTTGTATTTATTGAAAATTATACGGAATGATAAGTTACTAATCATAACCCTTGCATATTTTCCTTTTACAACTTCCATTTACCTTGAGAACTAATGAAAGTTTGATATCAGTATGAACATACAACAGGCATTGTAAAATATACTGTTACTTTTACCACCAGATTTGAGAACTGGATGCCCTTATGTCTTGGTGACCTGGTCTTTGTTGAATTTATTTTTAATACACTTAAACAGCATTTAAAGGAGAGTGAAAAGTTCCTGAATATGATATTTAGCCTATTTTTTATTCTTGTTCAGATTATTTTATATCCTAGACATTTATGGAAGCCTTAGGACTTCTGGGGATTTAATTTTGAATTTTGCTGAAAGGCAAAGTTTAAATCTCTTAAAGCAAGATATATATAAATGCGACTTTTTTCATCTCAATTATTTACCTCTTCCCATGTCAAGATACAGTGAAATCTCTGAAACTTCACAAAATGAATCTTATCCTGCATGGTCTGCTTTGTGTACTAAATTTGTATTAGGGTGATTGTTTGCCTATACATCTGAAAATATGTGTGTGTATATATATATATATATACATACATATATATATATATACACATACACTAAATTAGATTTTGCATATATAAATTCATATAAATATTTTTAAATGAGGAAAAGTACATCATATATGGAAGAAACACTGTTTAAATAAATATAAATAAGAGTGAAAGCAAATTCTGGAAACTGATTTTTTTTTTCCTTTTTTTAAATAATGGCAGTGTTTTCAGAATTTGGTGCATGGTCTCCTGATTTCAGAAATGTCAGCAAAAGACATTTTCACTCTCCTTTTGTACTGTTAAACATAATGGCTCTGCAAATAAAACTTTGTCTCTTAACAGTGCACAGCCAGCAGGCTAATGCAAGTTAAACCAGACATATTGAAACAATTAGAAAAAATTTTGTCTTGTTTGTCTTAGAATCTGCTTCTGGTAAGAACATTTCAGAGCAGTTCAGATTTTGTTCTCTGCTTGTGTAGTTAGATAACCTCCAAATATACTAAAGAAAAATAGGCCTATGAAGTATATATTCAGACTTCTACCTTAACACACCTAGGGAACACTTGCATAAAGCAGAAAACAGCTTCAGAAAATTTTATCAGGTTTAGTAAAGCTGCAATATCATTAATTATTTTGAAGAAATGAATAAGTTCAAATTGAGCTTCTGAGTCTTTGCTCTAGGAACCATTTTCTTATTTTCACAACTGAATAGGTAACTGAAATCCAAGATTGGAGTGCGTCGAGTCCACATAGCGCAGCATATGTTCTTTGGGACAATGGTGCTAAAAACCTTTACAGAGTTGGCTTTGAAGGCATGGTAAGTATAAAAGAATACAAAGGGTAAAATGCATGAAGGGGGAAGGGTAGTAAGAATAACTTGTGCTTTATGGTCCTGCTTTTGTAATATGCTTTGTCAGTTTGCATGCTGGTAGTCAGGTCATTGTGAATCCAGCTGTAAGGGTCATGCATATGTATTAGTAAGAAAGTCTGATCTGGGAATTTATTTAATGTGAATAACTAGAAGTTAAGAGCTGCTTCCTGCCACAGTAAATATTTGCATCACACACATTTATCTTTCTGTGCTACTGTTGTGTTTAAATTAAAATTCAGAAAAGACTGGCAAGCTAGTTACAAACTTTTTAAAAAATCCCGTTCTTCAACTCCTGAACTCTTCAGCAGAGTTCAAAATTTGGTGTGATTACTGCAAGATCTGCAATTTTTAAATTACTGTCAACACTTGGAGTGCTATTGAGAGCAATTTTCTTTTTGCAAATGGAAAGGTGTTGAATTAAATTACGACCTTAATTTGCTTTAGTGGTAAATTTTTCTGTTTCCTTTTGAAGCTTCTCCAGCAACTTCTTTAGCTTTAGAGAGAAAATGGGTCAGACTCTAGCCTAAGTGCCTTCTGTTGCTTGGTTTTCTTATCCTAATGTGGGTCAAGGAAAGGTTACTTTGATTATCAACTGCTTAAAACATTTTAATTAGCATTTTCTCTGCATGATTTTTGTTTGATTGTGCAGAGGGAAATCATGTTAATTTAACATTGAAGTGTCATTTTGTCAGATGTGTAACAGTATAAAATGTTAGACAATGACCAGTTACTTTTTTGAATGTAAACTATTTGACCTTATATAGCCTCACTTCAAGTTTATTTTTATACTTAAAATGAAATAAATACCACTTTTGTGGTAAATACAATAGTGTTACTTTTAAAAAGAATAAACTAATTTAGTGCAGGTCAGCTTTTCTGATGCATTAAGATCGTAGAGATAAAATATGAATCAGTATTAAATTATGTGCTTCATGGTGTCCTCTAGTTTTAAGGAAAATTCTTTATATACTGGCAAAAATGAATGTGTGTTGTATTTTGTAGTATAACATTAAATTAATGTTTGGTATCTTCCTTCTTGTGATACATGGGAAAGAAAGAGTTATAAGATCTGGATAGAACAGGATACAGATCAGCTGATTTTTTTTGTTGTTGTGTCTGTTATGACTTCAGTTGCTATGTTAAAATTTTTGATCTATGTAGTAAAAGTGCTGTGGAATCATTGAAGATTCCTTCAGGAAAAAAGTATATTTGAGATAAGTTATATTCTGCTTTGAAACAGTTATTCCCTTAAAAAAATATATATTATTATTAAATCAACTACATTCTGTTTCCAAACTTTTGTCACCTCTGAAAGTGTTAAATATTTCTAGAAAACTCCATTAAATACTGCAGCTATAAATTTGACAGGGTGATGGTGACCTTTCGCACAAGTTTTGTAGAAATGCAAATATTTGGTCAATTAAAAAAAAGAATCCCGTTAAACTGTGTGTGAGAGTACATACAAAGATGTTGTATTTAGGAAAATAGAGAAAATATATGTACATGTGGACATACAGAAAGGATAATTTGAGGCTGTGTAAGTAGTGCTTACCTGATTGTAATCCATTCTTACACTAATTGTATCTTTGGTGTTCTGATCAAATGCAATTTTCACTTCAGACAGAATGGATTCTTGGATATCTATGGGAGTCATTTGAATGTAATGCTTAATTTTATAACTGATTAATAATTTGTTAAGTGTACAATTCATTATTATTCTTTACAACTATTTGTGTGCTGTTACATAAAGCTAAGACTGCCAGGAAGTTCACATAAGTTGGGGCAAACCTGTTTTGGTACTTGGAAATTGGTTTAAAAGGTCCAAAGAATGTGGAATCAACAATACTCAAGAGTGTGTACCCATGTAAATACAGCTGGGAAGAGACCCTGAGTTGCAAATGGATAACACTTGACTCTAATGCTAATGGAGCTGATTAAAGAAACACAGCTCATTATTGTAAGTCAGTGTTCTTGTTTGATAGCTGATAGGCGGCATCTGGTCCTCAAAATTAATCTATCTGGCCTGCCAGCCTCGGGGGGGATGAGGTTTGGCTGGTGGGGTAGCAGGTGCTGTCTGAAAACATGCATTTATTTGTGGTCAGATACTTGGAGGTTTTATTTGTGTTTGCTGTGTTTACTGTTTATATATGAAGTGGCTGAGAAGTGCATCTTGCCTTTTTTTTTTTTTTTTTTGTGAAGTCTGACATTTAAATCTGGGAGTTTCTGTTGCCACAGGCCACAAATTCCCAAAATGTATGATGCTGTTAGATCAGATAAAATGTTAGCTACATCCTTAGTAAGAATGAACTACTGTTGGCTTATCCGGTTGGTTACTCTAATCACATTTCTTACCTATGTGTATTCAGAATCCTGAGCCAAACTGAGCTGTTAACCACATAACCTGCTTTAAAAATGTTTGAACATATCCTTTAGAAATAGAGGTCATATGGAATTAATGGGAAGATTGTGATTTTGTTTTTGGGGCTTGTGTCTGGATTTTATTTCTTTGTATCACGTGAGCTGAGGATGTAAAGCTGGCAACTTCCCTTGGTTTTCAGTGGAAAATAGTTCCATCCACAGAAGTGTCCTAAATCAGTTTCATTATTTAGGAATATTTTTCTTTCAGAATTTCTTTGCTCTGTACCACTTGCCTTTTTTTTTGCTGCAATTAGCCTCTCCTTGTTTCTCGTTACGTAGGATTGTGCTTTCATGTGTGTTGCCTCTGAAAGAAGTATCTGTAGTTGTCACCATCATTGTCACAGTGATCTGTAAGTCATGGTATTGTCACACCATCTGTGTTGGTGTACTTTTTTTCCACAATTCCGAATAGTGAGTTCATAAGGGAAGTTGAGATTGTGTGCCTCTAGGTGATTGATAGTTAATGTCTTTTCATCAACTTTTATTTGGATACCCATGAAATTATTCTTTGAAATTGCTTTAGAGGATTTTAAGAATTGCTTGTTAACACTTTTCTTTTTAAATAAAAGCAATGTAGATTTCTTGGTATACTAGGCATTATATGTGAGTGTTACAAAATATACAGAAATATGCCTTCCACTGTAGTTAAAACTGTCAGATCTTAATGTCAGTCAGATCATCAGTCCTCTAGTCATTTATCTTGTCACCACAACAATTAAAATAAGATACTTAGGAAGGAACAACAAGAATATTTTCTTAGTTTAGTGTCCTTCTGTTTCTTTTCAGTGCTGACCATAATTGTTTTTAAAAAACAAATTCAAGAATTTTTGGACACCTTTATGCAAGCAGGAGGTGTTTTTTAATACATTACCTGTAGTATAAGTTAGATGTCAATAAGAAAACTTAGGTGGTCAGTTGTTTTTGAATCCAGAGAGGAAGGAGATATTTATATTTACCTTGTGCATTTATTTGCATTTGTCAGTAGATTGTTTTGCTTCTTTTTGATGTAGTTACATTTCTCCTGTCCTCTCAACCAAGTTTTCATCTTTCTGTGTTGTGAAGAAAAATATTTCCATTAAGCAGAAATGTACCTATTGATCATATTGCAATTTTATTTAAAGGATTAACTGACAAGGAAGACTGTATCTTCCTTTATGAAAAAAAGTTACACATGCAAAGCTTTTTTTAAGTGCTTATAATAAATAGTAAGATTACAAACCATTCTCTCAGGATTTGCCTGAGATCTGGTTTCCTCTGTAAGAAATTGTTACTGCTGTTTCTGTGTCTCACACTTTGTCATTTGAGTCACTTTCTCTACTATCTTCTACCTTCTCCATTTATTACTTCACTTTTCCCAGCTTCTTAAAGCTGAGAAGGATTTGAGTTCATGAAATTTGAAATAATGGTATTTCTTATAAACTTTTAGCTAAAACTTAAGGATTTATCCAGTCTCTTCTTGCCTTAATCTGGTGACAAAGCAGCATGCACTGAATTTTTTCCATTTGCCTCTGAAGGGCTGATTTCCTTGCCAAAAGCTGCTGTAAGTTTGAAGAGTTACAGTGACCTTTACTGTATGTATTCATTGCTACCTTAAAAAATGGCAGCTGTGGCACTATTCCTGCTGGTGTATCTGTAAGATCAGTATTAATTTCTCCCCTGGTATTTGCTGCTGATGTTAGGTTCTGTAACAGTGCATCTGGATCAAACATTGCTTTTTTTTCTCAGCAGCACCACTAGTTTTCTTATCAAGTCTGTAGACCCTCCCTCCCTGTTTTTGATGGATGGCATTCCATATTGATCGGAATAACTTGATAGTTATTTCTGTAGTCAGCTGCTCCTTCAGCTTTGTTTTCCTTCTCAAGGTCGGGGATAATGGTGCTTTTACACCATCTGCCAGCACTGATGGCCTTGCTCTACATTTTCTAATTCTGTGCTGTTTTATGAAGATGACATTGCTGCTGTTTATTTTATTGGTGTAATTGGATGGTATGTCAAAGTAAAGTGTTACATTTACTGTATTTCCCATTTGACTGGGCAGATTGTGAGATCTCTATGTAATACAGTCACATACTGCTGGAATGAAGATTTTTGGTAAGTTAAAGTGTGGATGCTAGAAGACTGAAGTTCTTCATTGTAGGCAAAAACCAATTACTGCCCATTGCTCATGTGCATCAGCTGTTAGTACTGACCTGGTAGTTGTGCTTTACAGTGTCTGATTCCTTAAGTTCTCACTGATTGCCTGCTTAACTGGGCTTTTTGTCTCTAATTGTACAGAAATTCTACAAAATCTCTAGCTTATTTTTCTCTTTTTTGTAAGAATACTATTTGGGGTTTATCAAACAATTTCTCCATCAAGTCGTTGTGGAAAAGCTGATTTGTTTCTCTTTACCAGATACTTACATTACACCCAGCCTCACAGTTGTTACTTCTTTTTCTGGTGGTGTCACTGTGAGTCTAAAACTTGTATTCTAACATCCCTTGTTTTGGTACTTTCCTTCGTACACTAGCACATCTCATCTCCAAACAATCTGCTATTTTGATTGATTTTGAAGTCTCAGGGTGACTCATAACTTTTAGAAATCCCAGTGGGATTCTCTATAGTGCGAAGCCTGGTGCATCCAGGCACCATCCATGTGTGTTTTTGCTCCGTGTGCACTAGGGGGGCCTCTTGCCATGCAGTCCTCAGAGTAGGGTGACCAGGAGCTTACCATCATCCCTGATTTTTTACTTAAATTACTTGAGTAGGACAAAGCTTATTTTCCTTTTCTGAGAAGTAGAACAGCCGAGTGCTAGAAGGAAAATTGTAGTTGCTTACCCAGTTTTTGTGGCACTGAAGTACAACTAAGTACAGTTTTCTGTCTTAAAACTCCAGAATCTTGTTTGGGTTTGGTTATATTTTAAAGGCATTTGCAGGCCTTTATCATGTCGATAGTGCTATTCTTAGTATTGCTGTTTGCCCGGTTGCTGAAGGCACTCTGCTTATATGCAGTATATAAGTTTCTTTTGTACTACCTTAGCATCTGTCAGTGTCTCATCTTTCTGTATGTTTTGGGTACTCCATTATTTTGTTGAAGGCTTCTGGGAAAAAAAAAAAAAAGACGTTCTCTTGCTTTTCTGCAATATTAGAACTTGATCAGACTCTTGTTTTATTCTTTAGCAATAAAACATTGACTACATCATGTAAGAGAAAGGAAGACAGTTGTGAAGCTGAGGTTGGATGCCAAGCTACCACTTAGTTTTTCAACCAAACATATCATTATACTCCAGAAATAAACTGTGTGCAGGGCATAGGCAGGGCGAGATACAAGTGCAAGTTTCTGAGTGTTTTTTTTTCTATAAAATTGGTGATACTGTAACAGGCTTCCTAGTAATGTCAGCTGTAAAATAGTAATTAGGTTTTAATGAACATTTTGTTTCTTCTGCTAGGTTTTAGCCGACTGCTCAGCATTAACACTTTCTGTAACACAAGCCATTTTTCATCCTGATTTTGCCTGGCAGGGAGGAGAGCTTTTGAACTCTCCTGCACTCTATTCTTAGTGTTCTGAAGAATGTGACAGCAGCTCTTGCATGTGCACCCCTCCTTGTCTCCTTCACAGACAGCTGGTTGTTGCCTGACACGGAGGACTTGTATTCAGTGGGTGAGACCCAGTGCTCCCGGGCACATTCAATGTCCCTCATTCGGGGATTGAATGAGTTTGCCATCTGGGATGGTCCACACAGCCCTTTTGTCTGCGGCAGGGCTAAACCCAGCACCTGCCCACCGGGTGGCAGCATCCTGTCGCAGGCCTTCTGCTGCCGCGCTGAGCAAGCTCTTGCTCTGGTTTCTCTGGGGATTTGAAGAGCGGCTGAAATCTCATTGTTTTCCTTTGGCTGTCTTCATCATTTTTCCAAAGTGGTGGTACATTCTTCGTAGATCAGGACATACACTGAATTTTGTATTGTTTCTTACTGCTTACCAGTTGCCAAGGGTGGTGTTGTGCTCATCAGAGCCTTGATGATTTGAAAGAGTTCAGAGTTTTCATTTTAATCCTTTTGCAGGAGGACAGTCTGTTAGTAAATCTCGGGCATGAGTGAAAGAATTGTTCAAGTATTTGTTCAGTTGTGGTTAATTATATCATTACCACCACCTGTCCTGCACTTCCTCCCCCATGCCATAGAATATTCTGACACATTTTACAGTTTCTGATCTCCTTCCTAATTTACTTTGCACACAAAAATGCCCTTTGTTTAGTTAGAATCATTTCATAAGGATCAATGGCAGATGATAGCTATTTGGAATTAAGCATTGCACAGGGAAAAAAAAACTAAAGGAAGGGAGAATTATAGAAAATCCTCTGGCTTTATGAACAGGAGTTGGTTACCACACTTGAAATTTCTATTTCTCATAATATGAAACAGTTTTATGAAGGATGAGCTTTAGAACTTTTCTCTTTAAAAAGAACATTTTTAGCTCAGTGTAGTATTTTGTTGGCTTTTTTGAAGTAATACCCTTCTGCATATTCTTAATTGAAAAGTTTTCATTTTATAGAATCTGAGTGACAAGTTTTCTTCATGTTAAACATGGATCTGTCAAAAAGTGTTGGGAAGAGTGGGCAGCACTGGCAGGCATTAAATGATGTTTCCTTGCTTGTGTTCACAGAATTATTTTTTTAAAGGAAAAATAAGTTATTAGAACAATGCAAAGGTGCTTTGTGTTAATTCCTGTCTTTGAACTAAAAATTTATCATCCTTTATAGCCTTTTATATTTGTAAAGGTTATTAAAGTCTTGAGAATGTCACGGCTGATAGATTGGAAAGTATTTGAGATTGTGTGCGTCATGGAACGTGTTTTTTGTACACATAATTTTCAGTCTTTCTTAATTAAATATTTCAGTTCTAGTTTCACTGACCTGGAGACTCAGTCACTGAGGACTAAAGTTGTCTCAATCTCTCTCCGTAGTCTGACCTGAAATGTGTTCAAGATGCAAAAGGAGGCTCTTTCTACAGAGACCATTGTCCTGTGTTAGGTAAGTTGAAGATGAAGTAAATTTATGTTGATTTGTATTAATTTTACTCACTCTGGATTTCCATTTCCTTTTTAAATGTCATCCAAAAGGACTGTCCTTACTAGTGAAATGTGAATAGTGTAATTTCTATGCACTAATGATAAATTGTCATGCTTTTCTAAATTGCGTTTGCTGTCAGTGTGCCAAGGGGATGGCAAGGGAATTTTTAAGTGTTCATTAAGTTACAAATTGTGTTGTGTATCCTGTGCACTATATTTCTAAAGAGCCAAATGTAGCTGCTCATTCTTACAGAACTGGCTTAAATATTAAGAGATCTAATAAATCTAACTCCTTGCACAAAAGCACTGTTGTTTTATTGACACCAGAGCTTTTATGTGTCCAGATGTCTAACACCATAGTTTCTAAGATCCCAGTTAGAGCCCATAGTGGAATTTGTCACAAGTATTTAGCATTTGCCAGTGTCACTGATACTTGCCTTGAAAACTCAAAAAGAAGCATAAAATTCTGTTGCCAGAGATTCCAAAGTTTATTTGTTGGCCACTACTGTTGTGGAGGCATTGGTGTGGAATCACCATCCCTGAAGTGTTGAAAACATGTAGATAGGGTACTTGGAACAGGGTTCAGTGGTGAACATGTGATGGTGCTAGGTTGGTGGTCAGACTTGAAAATCTCAAAGGTCTTTTCCAACTGTAACAATTCTGTGAGTCTCAGAAATTCTGTTCTTTAAATTGCCTGGAAAATTAGTATGATGATGTAAATTTTTTTTTTTCTTGCTCCGTTTCAGGTGAGCAAAATGGTAACAGAAACCCTGGTGGGCTGCAAATAGGTGACCTTGTAAACATTGACCTCGACTTGGAAATTGTGCAGTCTTTACAGCATGGTCATGGAGGATGGACTGATGGCATGTTTGAAACTTTAACAACAACTGGAACAGTCTGTGGCATCGATGAGGACCATGACATTGTAGTACAATATCCAAGTGGCAACAGGTTTGTTCTGTAGCCTTCATTGTTGCTTCTAACAAACGTCCCTTGCCTTCAGTGCTTGTGATTGCTTGGTGCCAGAAGCTTTCTCTTCTCCTTTTGTGTCAACATATTAAGATTTCCTTCTAGCTGTGTAATGAGGACTTAACTTTGAGGATGCTTTAGTGGGAGTAGAAATTTTGCTGCCTCTCTCACGTGGTAAAAATTTGAGTCCAAAATAAGAAATTATGTTCTAGACTATTTTATTTGCAAATTGTAGTGTTTTAAGCAGTAACTTCATTTTTAATAAAAAGCTATATATCCCATAGTTTCAAAGGCAAGGTAATTGCAATTCATTGTGGATTTTCAGGAAAATAGTTTAAGAGGACAGGTAACAAACTTTGAGGGGATCTTGTCTAAACTAGAGTCACCTTGGCATGATCCGTATCTAGTCTTATTCTTCAAAGGAATGTTTGTTTATGTAAATACAGACCAAGAATAGGAGGTGTTGGACAAGCCAGAACCACTCCCTGATAGTAGTTTAGGTTTGAATTTTGCTTAGCTGCATCCATGCTAACAAGGCTCAAACCTGGCTGTGCAGTGGGGTTTGAATCTGATACGGCCACATGGCTTTCTGTTCTCTTGCTCTCAAGTGTTAGGCTTATCTTTAAGAAGTTGCTGATGAATATCATTTCAGTTGTATATGGAGTTTGACCTGTTCAGTTTGTCCAGAAAAAATTAACAGTATATTGTTCATTCAGGATTTCCCTCAAGATGTTTGTTAATATTGCAAAGTAATGCAAACAGAGCTGTTTCCCCAGCTAAAGGGATGCAAATGGCTTTTCTTCTGGCAGTCATGTCAGCAAAGTCAGTGGCAGGAGCTGCTTTGTCTTGTGGTCTCCTCCCTGACAAAACAGCTAAATGTCTCTAAATCAGTGAAATTTATACTACCAATAGGATAATTTGATTGAAAAATGAGGTATGTCTGGGACATCCATTTAATTGAAAAGTATTGTTATAACTTAATATTGTATCTTTTGATCTGGGGGAGAGGCCAAAATTCTATTTTCTTCCCATGCTGTTTCCTGACAGTTCAATCCTTGTGAGACAACTTGGATGTGCTGCTTTTCAACCAGTTATTTCCCGTCTCTGGAAAAATAAAGCAACAGTATAGCTACTTTCGGGACTTTAACATTGCTGTCAGCTTGCTTCCCCTTAGGCAGGATATTTCTTAATTGCCTTTACAAATGTATATCTCTAAAGATTATCCTTGAAATTAATTAATGAGCCACAATTAATGAATTAATGAGCCACAGGCAAGTTTATGGACAAAAAATGAGTAACAGCAAATACAGTACCCATAGTTTCCAGTCACAGAAAGTTTGTAGGTGTACAAGCAGAAGTTTACCCAACAGATATTTTTTAAACATATATTTCACTTGGTGTGTTCAATATCTACTCTAAATGATTCATTCTTTAGGTGGACATTTAATCCAGCTGTTCTCACCAAGGCCAATGTTGTTCGAAGTGGAGATGCTGCTCAAGGTGCAGAAGGAGGAACCTCTCAGTTCCAAGTGGGTGATCTTGTTCAAGTATGTTATGACCTGGAGAGAATCAAGCTTCTTCAGAGAGGTCATGGAGAGTGGGCTGAAGCAATGCTTCCGGTGAGTAGCTGTGTGTTTGCATTCATAGAATGGTAAAGCTTGTACAGTATTTCTGATTATTATTGGTAATATACCTGTAAGCTGCAGGAGTCTAAAAGGGATTTTCTTCTAAGTTTTCGTCAAATGCAGTGTAGTACTTGTTCAGGTGTAGCAGTTTATTTAGCCTAATGAAACCTATCTAAAGGTGGTAGTGATTGTACTGCTAAATAATGGACTTCATAAAATTTGTATAATACTAAAAATAAAATATTTAGAAATCTGAATGTTTTAATTGCATTTGATGTTTTCTTGAATCCAGACTTTAGGTAAAGTTGGTCGGGTTCAGCAGATCTATTCAGACAGTGACTTAAAGGTAGAGGTTTGTGGGACATCTTGGACCTATAATCCAGCAGCTGTCTCAAAGGTGGCATCAGCAGGATCTGCTATAAGTAATGCATCTGGTGGTAAGTTTGAAGAATAACCAGTAATATAATAACCAGTATGGCAAGTAATTGTGTTAATTGAAAAAATGTTACTAGGTACTAATACATCGTTTGTATGCAAGGTTAATAATAGACTTGGAGTTTAGGTAATTGAAGTTGTACTTAAGAAAGACAAGGAAAAAAGCTTGGGGTCAATATGGAGATGTTGTTATATTGATCAGGTGCTTCTGTTTGGTCACAGTGCAGGGGTGACTTTGGAGGTCCGCTCTAAGGACTTCAGAGTGGTTGGAAGGGACGTAAGATTGAAATAGGGACTAAGGCATGAAGAGAACGTCACTGGCAGTAACAAGCAGGCTCCTTGTTTAATAGGTGGTTTAAGATAGCAGGCATAGGCGAAGGATCTGTTGCAGGTGGTTATTATAACTCAGGATATTTATTTCTTTAAAATTTTTGTCTTAAAATTTAGACAGACATCCTGTAATTACAGTGGGATTTTTTGGTGTCTATGTAATCACACTACAGTTTTGTTGAACATGCTGTCATTCATGTAATAACAAGGCAGAAAGACTGTCCAGCATGTTTTGTGTTATGTTGGCAGTTTTATAGGTCAATTGAAACTAGAATTTTTCCTCTTTTTAGTCATAGCTAGTTGTTCTTTCCTCTTCACATATTTGCTTTAATGCCAAGAAAACTTTCTACATAGTTTCCTAGATTGTTTCCTAAGGAGGCATAGATACAGTGAGTTTTCTCCATAAAGATCTGAGTATAGTGGCCATAAAACTATCTAGAAGAGTAATACAACTTAGTGTTTCAAATGACAGAAGACAGGCTATACCTGATGTTAGAAAGTCTATTATAGGAGTACATAAGTTCATGTTTTTATGTTGTCCCACCTTTTTGTATTTTGCGGAAGAAAAGCTATTTGTGGTTCAACCATCTTTCTTCTGAAGTGTCTCATGTGGCAGTCTCCACTGTGTCAAGGGTACCGGAGTGCAGCTCTTATTTCATACTCAGTAACTTTACAGCTGCTATTTTATGGTCGTTAGTGTATTACTATGTACATGGCCTTAGAAACACAACAAATGTAGCTGGGGTTTTTTTTTTCTGTTCTTGTGCAATTAGGATTGTAATCTTAGTTGTCCTTTGGTTAACAATTACAGAGAGATTGTCCCAGCTATTGAAAAAACTATTTGAAACACAAGAATCTGGAGATCTCAATGAAGAACTGGTTAAAGCTGCTGCCAATGGAGACGTTGCTAAAGTGGAAGACTTGCTAAAGAGGCCAGATGTAGATGTAAGTGTTCTGTTTTGGGAGTGTCTCGTTTGGGGGGTCTCTAGTAATAAAGGAAGTGCAGCTGTTCGGAATAGTTCTTGCCAGTTTGTAGTGTGTCTTCTGAGAAGTAGTACAGCTACTTCCAGTGTCTCTCCTCTCATTTGTTGTCCTATGAAATGTGTGTGAGCTGTGTGAACACAGAGCTGTACGTACTTTCTTGCTGGACAGATTTTGTATTCTTTTGTCTACCATGAATTAAGATACTTTTCAACCTCTGGCTGCCAGAGTTGGTGCAGAGATCCAAAAGGTCACAATTACTGAGGAGTCTTCAAATTCTTTTTTTCAAGGGGGATAGAAGGAAGGAGGGTAGATTTTTCAGGATGTTTTTGCTGTTATTGTGAGTTTGTTTTGTTCTATTAACTCACAAGGTAGTTCATCTAATCTGTTCTCTATCAGATTCCTTTTACCAACTTGTCTAATAGTGAAAAGTCGAAAAGAAAATGCTTAGTAATTATAGGAGTTTGTTTAGGGAACATATTTTAAAGTTACAGACTTTTTCACTACAGCAGCTATAATGCTCGCAGTTAAGAGTCTGAACTTCTTTGATTCTGAGCACTGATTTTTAGCTTAAGATTTTACAAAACACGGGTTCATACTCTCTCCTGTTGTTGCCATAAATTTGGCAAGGAAGTTACATGAATGTGGTAGTTTGACATTTAGGGAAAGCAGTGAGAACCACCCACAGAAGTCATTTCTTCGAGAGAAGCTGCTGGGAGCTTCTCCTCTGCCTGAGATAGTACTGAGATAGTACCATAGAGCAAAGGACTAAATCCTACATAGAGCAAAGGTATATATCTGAGACTTGTTCTCAAAAATCTTGTTTTTTTGCAGGAGTCACCCAAAGATGAATGTTTTTAATCCAAGTATCATTAATGTCTTAATATTAGTTATGAATCCATTTCTTCCTTTTTCCTTCAGTCTAGATACTGTAGAAATGAAATAGACAAGACCTAGGAGATCTATATATGCTAAAAAGGCATCTTAAAATTGTTAATTTGAAACTATGTTACTTGTGCTGTTTCTTTAAGTTTTCTGCTGCTAAACAGCCTCACAGCAGGTGTGTGTGTGTGTGTGTGTCTTGAAATTCACCTGCAAGTGTTGACATTCCAGGTGAATGGGCAATGTGCTGGACACACAGCTATGCAGGCTGCAAGCCAGAATGGCCATGTCGACATTTTGAAGTTGCTTCTGAAACAGAATGTGGATGTAGAAGCAGAGGTAACATAAAAATTTCAAAATATGATTTGTGTATCCTTAAACTTTGTTACATGCATGACAATTCTATTCAACTTGCCTTTTTAAATGCCAGAGAGAGTGAAAAAATTGCTTTTATTGTGTACCTAAATTAGACTCCTACTAAATCCTATTGTAAAGGTTCAATATCTAATTCTTTAACACTTCTTGTTAAATGAAATGTAACAACTAACATAATAGAGCTATGTGAGCTATAATGCGATTAAGCCCCTTCTTTCTTTCTTTCCTTTGGTTTCATTTCAACAGTAGAATGGGAAAAAGATGTCAGATGCTGCACCTTCAGCTTCAAATGCTTGCCATGCTTCTAATATATACAAAGATCAGTTAGGAGAAATCTTTCAATTTGTAACTGAAACAAGGTTAAGCAGAAGGCAGTAGCAGTATCTTTGGGTGGAAACTGCCAGTTCTCCTTCCAGTTTTTCAGTGCCATTTTTTTAAACTTCACTGAAAACGGAAGGGTGTCTCTTGTTTAGTTTTTTTAGAATAATTGTTTGTAAAAGTTATCTATCAGCATACTGTGATATTTGCATTTTGAGTTGATTTTTACTCAATTTTTTACACAGAATGCACTGATATTGCAACCATTTCTCGTTTTGTGAGGCACAAGAAGCATCTGTCAAATTTGATTTATTAAGAATAAAAACTGAAGCCTAGTGGGATGCTGAGAAATTAATTGTGCACCCAGTTGTTGTTTGCATAACAAAAAAATAACTTCACATGCTTGGGCATCTAGCATTATATTATATTTGATATGCAGAAGTTATAGAATGTTAAAACATTAATGAGGCAATGTAATTCTTGAAATTAAAATTATTTTATATTTACAGATACACCATTAACTTATAATGCTTTTCATGCTAGATTCTAAAGATGGCTTAGATTGATGCAATACATGCTTGCTGTGGTCTGAGTTGTGTGAAGTAACTTCATGTTAGAGGTAGTGCTTTCACTGCAGTACAAAGCAAATACTGTTAAAATTAGACTGAACTGCTTTTTGTCTGTACTGTGGTGTTCAGAGCTGTCATGTTTTACTCTAGTAGTGGACTGAAGGGAGGGTTAGAGGCATTAAAGAGGTAGGTAGAAATACTACTTAAACAGTTTGAAGACAATACACCTGGTAATGTGCTAGCACTAGAATTATGAAAAAAATTCATGTTTGCTCAGGCTTCAGAAGTGCCATCACACTAGCATAAAAAAATTACCAGGGATTTTACTTGACTTTTAAAGCCGTCTTCACACATCTGTGGTGCTTAAGTGAAGGCGGTATTCCCACTTGATTATATAATTGCCTTGGTTATTATAATATTAATAATTTTCATAATATTTTTAGATTACTAGTTATATTTTTCAGACTTTAAAAATCTGTTTGTCAATATTTATATCTATATACACATATAGATAATGTTTATAAACATAATTATTTATAAAAATGCAAAAATTCAGAAGAGTCATCCCATTAAGCAAAGAGCAAAAATGTAATCCATTTAGTTCACTGTTGTGGTCAGAGGCATAGAAGCAATGGATAAAAATCCTTACTTTCCTTGCTTTATAGCTAAGTCAGACATTTTTACACTTTTCAGTCGTTACTGCAGAGTATATACGTTCATGATGATATTTTCTAGGCATATCCTGATTGTTGTCTCCTGTGTTTTTCTCTGATGTCTTCATGTAGACTACAAGTGGCCTCTGTTTAGTCAGAGAATAGTTGGTTATTGACATAGCTCAAAAAACCTGATGTAGATATTGCATAGTAAAAATATGTAGCTGCAGGCAGTAATGGTTGTCAGTTATATTAACAGTACTGACAATATTATACTGTTGGCATGTATAAAAATGTAGTGCTTTTAATATTTATGTTTATATCTAAATGTAAGTCTTAAGAACAGATGATTTATTAGTTGCTAGCTTTTTCTAGATGAATTATTGCTGTTGGGTAGGATTTAATTCCTGAGATGATTTGTTTTGATGCTGAGCTAAAAAAAGGCTTGCATGATCCTGGACCTCTGCTCATTTAAGTAGGAATTCTATACATTAAGACTTAATAAAATCAGGCCGTTGTTGAAATTGAAATATGGTAAAATGAAAACATTCAATAATTATATAGGGTTTCATCCATAAATGTCTTGGTGTACTTTTCAGACTGCAAATACGAAAAAACAGATTGCTATACCTCTGTGAAACCAAGTGCTCTGTAAATACAAGTCTTGAACCAGTTTAGGAGTACTGGCACACTCTTGATAAGATTTGCCTCATAATGATCCTTACAACCAGATGAAAAATACAGAGAGGAACCCCTTTCTGATCCTTTCCCCTTCCAAATGGCTTCTTTTGACTGTTCATTCATGTTAGGTGTGCCTGAGAAGGAATCCTGCTATCTGAGAAGGCAACTTTGTAGCATGAGTTGGTTTGGAAGGAATAAAAGTATCTTTTCAAAATCTGTTGACCATCTTGAAAACCATATCCATGTTTTCAAAAAGGTGCATTTGATAATTGGGGGATGAATCTTCTTCCGCCATTTTAAATGCTATAACTAGTCTCATTGTGCAAATACAGTTTATGCTAAAAGCTACTAATTTTTGAATTGGTTTAAAATATATTAGAAATTTGTTATAGAATAGAAAAACCTTTACTTTTGAAAGATGTTGCCAAAGAAGCAAATTGATGAGAAGCTAGCTGAAGAGACGCAGTGAGCCCTTGATCATTCATGATTTTATTTTACAGTTTTCAGTGTTTCTCTGTTTTCAAAATTCAGTCCTACAAATGCATGGTCATATAAACTATGCACAAATATTCAGAAACTATCTTACGGAAGTAATTTCATCATGTGTAACTTCCATTTTAGTTTTATCTTTTGTATACTGTTATTAATGCTGAAATGACTTGATTGATATTTTAAAATGTTTCATGTTGTACAGTCAACTTCTATGAGTGTTAAAATAGCCTAAACTGACAAATTTGACTTTCACATTTTAATTCTTAATTTGGGTGAAACTGAAACAAACTGAATCAGAGTTTTAACACTGTGAATCATCAACACAGAATCAGAACTTCTAGTTAATGTCAGCATCAGTCACAAATTTCCTTCGTAGAAGGTTTATTTAAGTGAAAACTAAGACACATAATAAATCCTAATAAATACTAATTGTATAAACAAGGAAATACTCATGTGTTGCGCTGTGGTTTGAAATCTGTAACACTTGTCAGGTTACAGGAAGAACTACCCCAGGAGAGTAAGTGTTATACTGTTCGGGCATTGGATTTTGTGTGGGTTCTTTGGTTTGGGTTTTTTCTTGACAGTGGTTGTTTTGTAGTCAGAACCCAAATGAAGCCATTTGAGTTTGATGAGCAAACCACAAAAAGATTCAGGGCAATAGTTCTATATGTTGTAGAATATCATATGTTGTAGAACATGTGTGTTCATATATGAACTGATTCTTCATCCTCTATTGCTGCAGTTTGAGCAATTATTTAATTAGGTATTTTAATGGTATCATGGTAGTTTATTTTTCTTATTACATCAAATATGGACTGTTGTTAGTTGAAATAATCTTGTTTAAATGCAAAGGAAATGTGAAATATACCAGGTAAATGAATGTTTCCACTTTAGGACAAGGATGGAGACAGGGCTGTCCATCACGCAGCTTTCGGTGATGAGGGTGCTGTGATTGAGGTTTTGCACCGAGGCAGTGCAGATTTGAACGCTCGCAACAAGCGCAGACAGACTCCACTCCATATTGCTGTCAACAAAGGTCATCTGCAAGTTGTCAAGACTTTACTGGACTTCGGCTGCCACCCCAGTCTCCAGGTAAAGTAAACTTTCAGTGTGGGATCACTTTTCAGCTACTGAATTGCATGATTTGCTGGAAGTAGGTGATAGAAAAACTATGGAAAATGGGATTGAAATGAACAGACATTGTAAAGTTGTCTGTCTCAACCTTTAACTCACCATGTGATCAACTGTAACCAAAATTCTATTGTCTGTTTGTTTCCTAGACAGTTAGATTGACACCTGTTTGTTCTAGACAGTTGATACTAATTGGTATTTTCACAGTCTGTAGTTATTTCTAATTGTTAACTTTCCTTCCTGATTAATTACTCCTATATCTAACCCACAACTCCGTCCTCCTTCTGCAAGCTACAGTTTAGCAGACTGGTGATACTGTGGAATGCTTTGTTAAAAGAAACCTTTTATTTCTTTTCCAAAATTGATTTATCATTGACAGTACTATTTAGTCAGATTCATTTTCAAATATTCAGCTTTTTATCTAGAAAGCCTTCATGTGTAGGCTCTCAAGTACCATAATTTCACAGGGAATTTCATCTGTAATTGAATGTGATGGAAGCTTAAGTACGATGTCCTGTTTGGAAGGTAGTGTGGAGCTGTGCTATCCAATAAGCAGGTATCCACACTGCTGAATGCAGCTTCATCAACTGCATTAGTAAAACAAATGAGAATGGGTGAGTTTGAAGAGATTTGCATCAGAAAAAGCTGTAGTGGCCTGGGAAATCAAGATGTACAGTAATAAGATATTGCCTCCTTATTTTGCAATGCCAATAATCAGATTTTCTTGGAGCTGTATATCCACATAAAAGAAGATGAGCAAAATCTTCATTGAAATTAATTAGTGATTTTTTATTTATCTCCTTGTGCCTAACTTTTAAGGTGCTGCCTTGATCTTGCTGAGGTTGATCTGTTATATCCATCCAGATCCTGTTTAGTATTTGTACAGTATTATATGTAATAATTATTATGTAACAGTAGGTATTATAAGGAATCTGATGTGCTAACATCAGTTAAGGGCGACTGTAAATCGCATAGGAACATATAGGTAGCCAAAGTGGATTTTCTTAAGTTGAAATTACAGAATTTTGTTACTGTTGAAAAATCAGTAGAATGGTGCAAAGATACTCCATCTGGAAAATATAATTGCTATTGAAAGAAATGAACTTTCAGATTCAGCATGTGTGCTGAGGAACTGTGATGTGCAAATGTGAGTAGGTGAATGATTTTGTCAATGAGAGCAGAGGGGAGTAAGTCTGAGGCATGACTGGAATTTAACTGGCCAGCAGTCTACTACTGTGGCCACTTCACAGTGCAAACAGAAACATATGTTAGTTTGTAAACTGGAAATTCAGGAAATATGATCAATTAAACCAAATAAAAGCTACATTATTTAGTTCTGGCAAATTGGCTCACACTGGTTCAAGTGTTTCCATATTCTGGCACTTTTTGTTTGGCAGATTTTGATTCTCACTGTACAAAAACAGAGATCTGTTTTCGTACTAATGTATTGCTAAAATGTTCAGTTTCTGTGTTAGTCAGCTTGCAGTTGAGTCAGTGTTGGTGGCAGAAGACTTCCTGACTTACATGGTGCAAGAATTTTACTTGAAGCATAAATCTGGAGATTTTGCCTATGTAGCTGCAAATAAGCTTAAGTAGATGTGTTTTTTTGCTATTAGTCTAGGGCATTTCTCTTCAGTCCAGCCATTTGAGTCATTGAATAAGTAATGTACAAAATTCTTCTTTGGTAAAAAGTATTTTTTCCTTATTTGGGATATTTGAAAAATAAAACATCAAGCTAAAAGTTTAAATTTTTTACCTGTTCAATTGTGCAGTAAAGTATTATGTACCTTGTGTAATATAACCTTGTATTAGCCATAAAAAGTTAAAAGCTTAATTTTCCATTATGACATTGGCTTTTCCATCATGAAAAATTATATGCTTCAGTTGAAATAACAGATATGCCTGCTTTTGGTACCTGGACTGCATTTTATTTTGATTTGCCTGTGCTTTAATTTCACAGTGTAATTTTGGTATTGTCTTCTATATGGTTAACTGCTGGATGAACTTAGCATTTATTACTCAAAATTCCATTCCTCCTTCCACCTGGGTAGTCTTCCCTCTGTCACATTTTAGTTTTTGTTGCTGTCCTTTTACTCATAAATTGTAATTTGGGCATCAACTCCATCTGGATAAGAAGCATAGAGAAGTCATTATCTACCCCAGTGTCTTCAGCACTGTGGGATGCAAAGTGTAGTTTTGGCAGCAGTGTGACTGTAAAATGGTGGAGCTCAGGGTGGGGTTTCCCACTGAAGCATTTGCAAAACTGGAACAAGACGAGAAGAAGCAGCTTGCTCTGAACTCTGCAGTATAGCAACACTCGGGTCTGGAAGAGCTGTTTTGTGTTTGTGTAGTCAATTTTTTTAGTGATATTTTAGCATCTTTTTAATGTGGATGTATGCAAAAATTGACATAAGCTGTTTCTGGTTTTAGGATTCTGAAGGAGACACTCCACTTCACGATGCAATAAGTAAAAAGCGTGATGATATACTTGCTGTACTTTTAGAAGCTGGAGCAGATGTTACTATCACCAACAACAACGGGTTTAATGCTCTTCACCATGCTGCACTAAGAGGAAACCCGAGGTACAGATTCTTTTTAAAGATTATTTTTTATCATATGTAAAAGGAAAAGAAGTGCACATGAGGGTAGAACTGGTATTCTTTCAGAAGATCCGTAAATCTGCATGCAGTTGTATTTCCTAAATGTCGATGTTGCTTAGCTGTGCATCTTTCTAATGCTGGAAGACCTTACTAGAATGAAGCTAGAAGTCTGCTCAGTTTAATGCTGTATTCAGGTAACTCCAAATTCCTAAGAAATTCCCTGTCATGGCTGTAAAATATTGCCAATAAAATTTTTGATAAATAAGTTAGATCTTGAAGATGGAATCTTTTATCCTTGACATAGGATAAAAATAGCAAATACTTCAACATTTCGTTTCTTGACTGTTTGAATTGATAAAGGAATTTGAGTTTTTTAGAAATACTTATTTCTGGATAATTGTTAAGTAAATCATACAGTTCTAAAATACTCTTAGGGTTGTTGTATTAAATTGTATTTGTCAATATATGCAACAGTTAATTATATCTTAATAGAAGTATATCTAGAAGGAAGTTTGTATTTCAGCTATTATATAGCAGTTCAACTGTAAAAGTTCATTTTAATGCATAGTTTGTTTTATACTAGCTGCATTCTGTATGTGTGCATTCAATTTTCAGTTAAGATAGCTTTTGAAAACTACTGCATAGATAGAACTTTAAAGAAAAGTTGTGTTACTGTTTCCTTATTACACCATGGATAAATGGTATTTTTCAAAGCTGTCGTACTAACAAGACTTCAATAATACTTTATCCTGGGGTGGAGTTTTCAGTATAGTATATATATATATGTATATATATATATATATATACACAAAAGAAGAAATGTGTGTGTTTGCTACTAAATTCAGCTTTTCATTTGAGAGAAGTTGGAAAAATAAGGCTCTAAATTTGTGTAAATTCCACCTATTATTAATATATAGGATTAAAATCTAGGTTAGTCCCTTAGAACATAGCTATCAAGACTGATAGTCAAAAAGTAAACATAATTAATTATCTATGTTTGTGGAATGGAATAATTTCACCAAGTAAAAGTGGTGGTTGGAAGTATTGATAGGATAAATAAAAGTTTACCATTTTCTACAGTACTTATAAAAGGTCTTTAAGAGAACATGTCAAGGACCAAGTGAAGGGAGCGTATTTTTGGCATTCAGTAGACAATTCTTTCGAGTCTGACTTGGTAACTTCTTTCTTTAAAGTGAATTCTTCCTACTTATGTAACAGCATTAGCCAGGAGCACTGTTTCCTGTCTGTTACCTAGGTGTGGAATATTTTTGGTTAGGTTTTTCCTGCAGTGCTTTTCCTCAGCTCTTGTGGTAGTTGGTTTGTGTGACCATAATCTCAAGGTGAGATGCAGGGATCTCATGGGGAAAAGATCTTTTTCATAGGCATGTGCTGGAGATTTTTTGGTGGGTGAATGTTTTAGGAGTGACAGACCATTCCTTTGATGGAGGGATCCAAGTTGTAGTTCAGACTGGGTCAGTTTGACAGTTGGTAGAATGTGAGGTATTGTGTAGTTTTAACCAGAATCCTCCCTCCTTTACAAATTTTTTCTTGGAAGTATTGGAAAATGTTTCCAGTATTAGCGATTTGAATGCTGTGTGGGTTCCTCCCATACATGGGGTTTCACTTAAATCTAAAACAGATATTTAATTTTCTTTTTTGGTTGCAGTTCCATCTGAGCACTGCTCAAGCATGCAGAAAAGGAATTTTGTCTCCCATCACAGAAGGAGTAGTTTCATCTAAAATATCTAATGCGCACAGAATTAGATATTTTACCTATCAGCCTGGGAAGAAATGGTTGAAAATGAAACCAGTATAAATCTGTTTCGATTTCTCCCCCTGTCCAAAGGTGATCGTAATAGTTTCATTCATCAAAGAGTCGAGTTTTATATTCTTCAAGACTTCAGTGATTCTCATCTGTTTTATTGCTGATCTTGTAATTCTGCCACTTGCCTCTTTACTTTGTTTTTCTAATCTGATATAGAACAATGATTATTACTGATCTGTTAAATGCACTAAGTGCATTAAAACACGGTTAAATATAACCCCTCATCTTTAGCTTGTTGCTGCTGTGGGTCACAAACAGTGCATAATAGGTTGTGCTTGAAACCTCAAAGACCTGTGCTTGAAACCTCAAAGACCTATCTTTCCTCATCTAAGCTTCCCTGCTCCACCTAAACTGGAGTTTTTGTAGCTTCAGGATGTGGTGCCTTGTATTAATACTAAATTCCCCTAATATTCAAATACCTAGATATATTATGTAATTTTTATATTATTTTATAAAAGTTATGCATGTATTTATAGTATATAAATGTGGATGCATTTGTGTGCATAGCTAGAATTGTTAGAAATGTGCTATGTATGCAAGAATTAATAAAGTTCACATACATCTTCCTTGGTGAGGATAATTAAATGAATGTGGTAAGTGCATGGGTACCACAATAAATGGAGGTGGATTTCTATAGTATTTTTTTTAGTTGGTGTTAAATAGGTATTTGGAACCAATTTCATTTTCAGAGGAAAACCTCTTGTTTCTTGAGTTCTGACCTGTATAAATAATAGGGAGATAAATATCCCAAGAAAAAACTTAAAAATTGTGCTGAGAAGAGCATTCCAAAGTTTTAAATTTTTCATATGAAAACAAATGCATTCTATTTTAAATGTTTTAATATTGTATAAATATAATAAGAAAGATAGTGATTAATGTCAAATAGCTTAGCTTTTCTCAGCACTTTATCTTCCATGGTAGTTTGGCTTTGTTTTCCATGTCAAGGTACAGTGTGTTTCTGAGAGCATCCTATTCTTAGTAGAATATTTCTCCTTTTCATGTTTTGCTTCTCTTTGTACCTTGTGAATTGGTACAGAGAACTTTCGGGTTTTGTGCTGATGTATAATGTTGAAATGTAGAATGGATGTTAGTTTATGCTGTAGGTAGCTTTAAACTTGTGCATGGGAAATAGAGCTAAAAATTTTTTTAAATTAAGTGTGGGGAAGTTAAACTTTCATTTAATACATGGATCTTGTTCGTGATTTTTAACTGAGTCAGTCATATTAAAAGTGCATTTATTTTGGACTTGTTTCAAAAGTGAGCCTCAAAGCTTGGCAGTCTTTGCCTCTTTAGTGTTAATGAGATTTTTTTCAGACAGAAAAAAGGAGAGTAAAATTTGAAAATACTGTACAGATTGGTTATTTTTGCCATGTTATCATCTCTTGCTTATGTTTGATCTATTCGCATACCTGTGACTTCAGATTTTTGAGCTGAAGACATGACTGTGAAGTGTAGGCGTATTTTATATCCGTTGCCCCAGTTAGTTTTAGATTTGCATTGTATCTTGTGAAGAGAGCTTTATTCACTCTGCAGCTAGCATCTTAAATAGAGGCTGCTCTTGGAGCTGACCTGACTTCACACACGTGTATGATTAGTTCTTCAGAGCAATAAATTCTGCTGGACTTTAAATCAAAAAAATCGAAGTCCTGGAGTAAGATACAGATTTCACGTATTGCTCTCCAATAGCAAGAAGTATTATCATCTTTATGTTCATAAACTGGCAAGGAGGACATTGTGGTTTAAAATAGAATTGTAATTTTTCCCCATGGTTTTCTTATTATTTGGGAGATACCCATTTGTTTTTAGATTTGCAGATGGTTTGAACGTGTTGGCAGTGAAGTTTCTAACTGTAGCAATTTAATTGTGAGGTGGTGTTTCTCACTTTTAAGTAGTGTTAATGAGTGTCTTCAGGAGGTGTCTGCAGGACTCACAGGCTGTTTTGTCATGGAGGTCCTCAGAGAGACAAGTTCTGAGGTTATGGGAGTGGTACAATTATTTTTTACACCAGTCAAAGTGGTTTTTTTTGCTTTTGTATTTGCAGTTCTGACAGTAAGTGTAGGTTAAGCTTAGTTGAAACTGAGTGCAAAGAGAGCCTGTTTTTAAAACCTCTTATTAAAGTATTATGTCAGAAAAGGCTTTGGAGAATACTTTTGTTCAAGTTGATTTGGAGGAAGAATATAGTCTCTGTGAGCAGACCTATTATTAGATGGTAGATTAGCCTGTAGCTGTTGAGGTCAGTGACAAATATATTATCTCTAAATAGTAAATAATGTGCCCGACAGATACAAAATGGCAAATACAGTTCCTGCCCTGTGGAGTTTCCTTCCTTGTGCAATGAAAAAAAAGGGGACAGGGGTGCCCAGAGAGTAAACCTGCCCTGCCAGTACTGTTCATGATTATTTCCTTTTGGGCTTTGGGTTTTTTTGGTCAGTTCTGCTAGAAAGGGCACCAGACTTGAAGAATACAAGAGACAATATATTATTGGGAAACGTTTATTTCATTGCTTACCTATCTTCTTTATAAATGTTGTGAAAGATGGTTTTCACTGCATATGGACAAAACATTAAATACCAGTAGCTATTTATTTACAAATACAAACTTGAAATTTTGGAATACAGAGTATACTACACTCCTGGTTACCTTCCATCTTCAGGCTGCCTAGAAGTAGAGCTGGACTGCAGAGAGGACTACATAATTGCTCTGAGCAGGTTTCGTGTCCAGTTTTAAAAACATGAGAAATCCTGTAGTGATCAATGCATAGCTACAGCTGGTTGAAGGGGACCAAATCCATTGAAGAGGTGATTTGGTTCCATTTTACCAGCTTTAGCAAAGCATTGGAGTGCAGGAAGCTTATAATTCAGTAACACATTTTGAAGCACATGAGCAGTGCACAAAGAACACAGGGGTTTCTTCTGTATTACACAGCTTATTTCTTGTCAATACAGATTTTTAACTCTTTCCTAATTTGGAGATTTTTAACTCTTTCCTAATTTGGAGATGGCACAATTAAAAGCTGCATACCAGAAAGGCCTGTACAGGTTTGTTCTGTCCTTGAGTATTTCCTTGAGGATCTTTGGATGAGTCTCAAATCAAATCATAGTTACAGTTTTAACTTTTTCCTGTCTAGTGTAATCAAGTTTTAAAATAGATTAGAAAT